ACCTTACAAGCTGTCACATTCGGAGAAACTTAAAGTCCGAGAAATCATACATGACTTAAAAGATAAAGGCATTATTCGTGAGTCTAATTCTGAGTATGCAAGTCCTATCATACTGGTAAAGAAAAAGGACGGAAGCGATAGGATGTGTGTCGACTATAGAGCACTCAATCGTCTAACTGTTAGAGACAGGTATCCCCTACCACTTATAGACGATCACATAGATAGATTAGGTAACTTTAAATACTTCACCAGCCTTGATATGGCCACAGGATTCCACCAAATTGCTATTGAAGACGGTTCAATCCATAAGACGGCATTTGTCACACCGGAAGGACATTTTGAGTATCTCCGAATGCCTTATGGTCTGACGAATTCGCCCATAGTGTATCAACGAATTATTAACGACACCCTTCGCGGCCATATCGAGACTGGCAACGTCCTGGTCTATATCGACGATGTCCTGTGTATGAGTAACAGTGTAGATGAAGGGTTTTGTTTATTAAAGAAGGTGCTAGAAACGTTAACCGAGTCGGGTTTTTCAATTAACCTAAGAAAATGCTCGTTTTTGTCAATGGAGGTCGAATACTTGGGGCGCGTAGTTAGTCAGGGTCAGGTTAGGCCGAACCCATATAAAATTCAAGCCCTAGTTGATGCACCGGTACCTCGTAACGTGAAACAAATACGACAATTTCTGGGTTTGGCGGGATATTTTAGAAGGTACATCCGAGACTATGCAGCCAAAACCGCTTGCATAGCACGTTTATTAAAAAAGGATGTAAGTTTCTGTTGGGGTATAGAACAAGAGAATGCTAGGCAAGAGATAATAGGTTGTTTGACTAGTTCACCAATATTGTCCATTTTCGATCAGTCCCTGCCTACAGAAGTACATACCGACGCTAGCAGCGTCGGCTATGGTGCTATATTGATGCAGAAGAAGACAGACGGTAAGAAGCACGTGGTCGCCTATTTCAGTAAAGCCACACAGGGTGCCGAGAGCAGGTACCACTCTTACGAGTTGGAAACTCTGGCGGTCGTGAAAGCATTGCAGAATTTTCGTCACTATCTGGTAGGAATAAACTTTAAAGTAGTTACCGATTGCAATGCTCTCAAGGCGACTGAAAAGAAGAAGGACCTGCTCCCACGCGTCGCCAGGTGGTGGATCTACTTACAAGATTTTAACTTTAGTATTGAATATAGGAAAGGTACCATGATGTCGCATGCTGACTACCTAAGTCGAAACCCAGTCACTACCAAAGTACACCAGATTTCTAGACCACGCAACTGGGCGCAGATTGCTCAGTCGGCAGACGATGAGACACAGGGCATTTTACAGAAATTACAGGACGGAGAATTAGATCCTCAACGATATGTGCGGCAGAATGAGCTACTTTATTATCGATACACACCAGTGGGTGGGGAAGCCAGACTACTTTGCTTTATCCCCAAGGGACACCGGTTAAGTTTACTGAGAATTTTTCACGACGAGCATGAGCACATTTGTGCAGAGAAAACCATAGACTTAATCCTCAAATATTTTTGGTTTCCTGGACTTCGCCAATTTGTAGTAAAGTATATAAAGCACTGCCTTGTGTGCGTGTCCAATAAACGTGTACCCAGAGCCCCTCACCAACCGATTACATCTTGGGAAAAACCCGGTCTCCCTTTCCAAACATTGCATATAGATGTACTTGGTCCGTTACCCGAATCTAACGGTTACAAATTCGTCTTGCTAGTAGTAGACGCGTTTACAAAGTTCTGTTTGCTATATCCGATTCGTAAGCAGGATGCTAGTGAGCTTAAACGCGCGTTCTGTAACACAATTTCACTCTTTGGCGTTCCTAAGCTTGTAGTAGCTGACCGCGGAAGAATGTTCGAGTCCTTAGAGTTCTCTACTCTGTTGACCGAGTTTGGTTGTGATATCCATTTTATAACACCTGAGATGCACAATGCTAACGGACAGGTAGAAAGATACGTCAGAACCGTTCTGAACATGATCCGTATTGAAACCAATTATAGACACGCGGAGTGGTCAGAAAAACTATGGAGACTTCAACTCACTCTTAACATTACCAAGCAGAAAACCACACAAGCCTCAGCACTGAAGCTTCTAGTGGGCACTGACGCCACGACACCTATCGTTCGAACGCTAATACGTGACGTCGCCATCGATATGTCCGAAAACCACGAAGGCTGGCGAGAGCTGTGCAGAACAAGAGCTCGCCAACTGTTGACACGAAATCAAGCCAAACAAGATTCTCATGTCAACCGGCAACGGCGAACACCACGCGCATATAACGTTAACGACCTGGTTTTCGTAATTAAATATTCTCAGTCCACAGGAAAACTAGACCCTGGCATGCGCGGACCGTATAGGGTGCTCAAAGTATTACCTAGTGGTCGCTACCAGTTGAAACTCATCAGCGGTTCATATGGCAAAACCACACAAGCGGCTGCTGAGTACATGATACCCTGGAACGGAGAGTGGTGTCCCGAATCATGTGCAGCTTTTTTTGAGGGTGAGTATTGAATTGGTTTTATGCGCTCCGCTGGCAGGCTGCGTTGCCAGGTGGTAAATGCATTTAACTAAATGATGAACTTTGTTGGATGTGCGATTCAGTGATGCCTCCATCCACACGAACATGACTGATTGCTTGCAATGCATAAAGGACGCGCGATTCAGAGATGCCTCCGTCCAAATAGACATACCTATAGCGAGAGGTATTGGTCTAAATGAACTAAATGACTGAAGTGTTGACGTGCGATTCAGAGATGCCTCCGTCAACCTCAGACAGAGGGGACGCCTTCTGTCTGATTTGTTCACAGATGCAGCATTGGATCAGTAAAAGCATCGCGGGCCTAGAAAACAGGGACACAATCTTGAGAGCTCTCACTAGTTATAAGCCTTCTTACATAAAATTGCATGTTGTGTGTAGCCTACACTATGAAAACCATTATTGCAGTTTCTAAGATGCGTTCATATTTCAGAGGACGAAATAAGTTACCCCAACACAGGGTCACCATCAATAGCACTTCAACCCGCTACTGAGATGGCTGGGCTTGGTGGAGACTCTTCAGCTGCATTGTTGGGACCAGTACTAGCCGAGCACCATGAAGACCGCATCGAGGACGACGCTTTGTCAGGATAGGCCGATTTAGGGAACTCATTTTTAATAAAAAAACGATTCCTATAAAAGGCGGTGCACGCCCGAAAAACGTTCATTTGCTCATTGGCTTCGGTACGGGACGGTAGTTGTCGACGCGATTTGTGAGTGTTTGTAATTATAATTTCAATTGCTGAAAAGCCTTATAAAACTCTGTAAGTAGATAACAGTTGATTTGTATAAGTGATTGGTGTTTTATTTTGAAATTTATGCTATGAGAGTGTTCAATAAATGAGATTATTAGTTTCTAGATTTTATTAGTTCATTAAATGATCTCTAGCGTGTAAGATAATTGTTTTTTTTTTATTGATTTGTGAATCTGAATCCTAAATATATATATATATATATTTAGAATAATTAATATAACTCGAGGACTTTTTCACGTACTCTTTATGTAATTGCAAAACTTGAAGTAGCCAATAAATTAATAACCGAACTGAGGCTTGACTTACAAAAATGAATATTCTACTCGTAATACCGGCCTGTTAGTCTCAAAAAACCAAACCTCTAATTGGTTGATAACATAGATTTAATCTCAAATTTTCATATCCCTGATATAGAAGTTACGACTGTTGATATTTGACTATATTTTTTACAAAAATATGATACATGAAAAGACGCTAATCATATTTATCCCTCTTCAAATTACAGGTTCAAAGATTAAAAAAATAAAAATACTTTAAAGACTAGTCGTATTTCAAAACTTTGCCATTAGTAGTTAAATACTCTGTGATTTATATACCGACATTTTTGTAAATGATATTATTTTACCAATTGATATGTAACGTATAAATCTACCTTACTAGAATAAAGACAGTTGAAAGACCCATGGGCAAGAAGAAGAGGCATCCTGTGTAATCTTTGTTTAGTTTAAATCATTTTCATTGAAAACCATCAAAAGGCAGCAGTTAATAAACATATTTATAACAAAATGATTTTATTTAATTTTATAATACATGATAATTTAACTAATATAATCATATTAATTATTATAAAATTCTCTTTTGTTCTTAACTATGCAGTTTTAATGAGGGCTCCGTGGTAACTTCTGACTCCGTATGGCACACATTCCTACATATATTAATCCAGGATGTAATTTGGTCATGTTCAATATAAATATGCTCAGGCTTTATTGAATAACATGTTATAGTTATTGCATGTAATGCGTTCATGCATGAACAACATTTTGTATTTTCTTTAATATTTATTTATATGAACAATGTTAAACCCACATTACTTTTATAATTTTACAATAAATTCATAAAATGTTTAGAATTCCCGTATATTTTGAACCTGTAAATAGATAGTTTATAACTGTCTTTTAGCGACGGAGAGTGTGTGAGCTGAATTCCTATTGTTGCAATTTTGATTCGTTTTATATTGAGTTTTTGAGTTGGTGTGATTCGTGCTCGCTCTTTTGTTCTCGCATTCCCGCAATCGCGTACAATTTATACAGCAAGCGACTGCCCAGAATAACCCAACACATGAAAATAGTGTCTACAGTATGAGGAAAAAGTAAAGAATCTTCTATATAACCTTATTAATTCTACTTGCAGTAATTGTTGTGGCAGTCACTTATATTCTTTTATATTGTTTGGTAATGTGGACTTTCGACTGCACGGATGGCGTAGTGGTTTAAGCGGTCACCACGCCGCTTCCTACTACGGCGAGTGTTGTGGGTTCAAACCCCACATCGGACGACACTTTGTGTGATTCACAAATTGTTGTTCTGGGTCTGGGTGTTCTTTGTGTCCGTTTCATGTATGTTTGTAAAGTCCCTCGCGACACAGGATATATTCCTAATGCGGGAGTTGTCTTTTTTAAATAGAAAAAACTTACCTAGTACATGCTCATCATTGAATGTAACTCTGACTGTATGTGGTTGCGACACTCGGGGCGTGAATGCGGCGGCATACCGGTGGCCGCCAAGTGGACGAACTGAGCTGGCCACCAACGCACCATTACCACCAGAAACTTCAAGTTCCAGATGACCAGGTCCTGCCGTACTACCGTCCACTGTAGAAAAAAGTATAGGTTACTACTATTATTCTCTTTATTAATCTTATAATATATGTTTGAATGCATTTTTAAATACAGAAATGACTAATTTGTCTTCAAAACTGGCTAGTAGAACAATGAACACCAATGTTTTTCACTTTTCGTAATTTTGACAATGTTCTCTTGAGGAACGGCAATATCGACAATCATTGTGCGGCGCTCTAATCGGTCAATCTCAACTATTTTAGACTTATTGTCAACAATCCCAATACAATATGGCAAATAACATTTTCGAGAACAATTGTATTATTATTATTATTTTATTGTTCCTAACGACTCTATAATAATATACCGGGATGGCCTGGTACTTTTAGGTAATTTAAGTACTGGGTTCGTCCCGGTCTATTCAGAATCTTTAAAAAGGTTCTTCGTTCCATGGTCTTTAACAATTTTCTGAACTATATCCAGCAGCTTCCCAGCAGGAAATTTACACTTTACTTTGGCCAAAAGCCACTCTTTAACCTGCTCTTTGCTATTCCAAGTACAGGATCTGGTCCCCTTATCTCGATAGCATTACATCTCTTTCATCTAAGACGATCTTGAATTCTGGTCCGATTGATATGATACAGTCTTCCAATTTCTATTATTTATCTCTTTCTTTACACAACACACGGCGTACTTAATGCCTGGGCATTCTCTTAAAGTCAACCTTTGGGTGGTGTAGAAATCGTTAGTAGAAGGCGCACATAAGTTGCATTACTATTTAACTAAAATATACACTACACAACAATACATACTTAGATCTATATAGGTTGGTGAACATGGTTTGGATGATTCTGCCATCTCATTGAGAAGGAGGTCATGTACCCTTTTTTTAAATATAGAACGTTAAGTGGTCATCCTTACTTCGAGCGGGATTGCATTCCACAGTAGAACTGCTTAAACGAAGAATGAAGAGGAATTATGGGAGGGACATAAGAGAAGTAAATTATTTGCAGAGCGAAGATTTCTGTCGTATTATTCCTCTCCTTTTGAAAGTCGTTTCGTTTTTTTCAGTGTATAATAATAATAATAATCATTAACAAACAACAGTAGAAATTCTACTGTTGTTTGTTAATGATTACAAGAGCTAGAGCCAGCAGAGCACGTTTAACACCTCCGGACTCGTCGCTTTGCTCCGCCGTGCAGTCTCCGGAAGTCACAACACAAGTCCCGGTGATTACAGAGGCGTCGAGCTCGACTTCAAGCGACGAGTTTTTCTCCCCGCCAACGTCGCCAACACCTGTACGTCGGCAGGGGAGAGGTCGGCCACCGGTTTGCCTGGGATCCCGAGGCCCATCGGCTTCGAATAGGGCCCCCGCTATCGGTGGTAATGTGCGTCGCATGAAATGGACATCTTCAATGAACGAGAACGTTATGCGAGCATATTTTGTGGCTACAGAGGGAGAAACTAATCTCACTGCGTATCGTAATCGTTTACTAACTCTGTTTCAGGAACTTGAACCAACTGTTAACGTTACGGTGCAAAGGTTATCGGATCAAGTGCGAGCTATTAAGCGATGTAATTTGTTGAATAGCTCTGTACTTGAAAGGCTACGCTCCGACTTACAGATAAGCCTCACTACTTTTCCTTCTTCACAAGCAATCACGCATCAAGATCTCGAAATACCACAGACTTCTCCTGCTGAAGGAGAGGAAATTGATGCTTCTTCTGTAAGTACCCAGTACAATGATATAATAAGGAATACTTTGGAAGGTGCTATCCTGGAATATGGGTCCATGAATTTCGTAAACAGACCACGTTTACCTCGTTTGCCGATGCATAAGCGAAATAAGGCGTTAGTGTGTGCCCTTGATTCTATATTACCACCATATTTTGAAAAATGTGAAAACCTCAGTGATACACATTCAATTCTGTATTGTGCGGCTGTTACTGCATGTCGAGTAGCTCGACATGCAGTAACAGCCGCACAATAGGTGGTGTCAAATTCTCAAGAGTTGACATGGCTCCTCGACCTAAGTCTCTGGTGCCGTCGTGGCAGTATAGAATTGAACGTCGTATCGCTGAGGCAAGGGTACTCATTGGCAAACTTATCTGTTTCAGATCGGGCAACACACGCCCGAGAGTAATGCGCTTTGTGAATCAGGCTTTCTCGGGAACTGGTATCAGGTTCTGTGATTATATGGCACGAGTCACAGAGCGCATTGACTTTCTGAAACAGAAGGTTTATGCATGGGCAAACCGTATACGAAGGTATAAAAAAAGAGTGGACCGATATACTCAGAATCGCACATTCCAAAGGGACGAGAGGTGGGTTTATAGACGGTGGGCGCAGCCTGATTTAGTGAGTGATGGACATTTTCCAGATGTTAAAATTACTAATACATTTTGGCGTAACATATGGTCGATGCCTATCACTCACACAGAGGGTGAATGGATGCGAGATGTCGAACGATCGTGTGAGTCAATCAATACAATGGAGCCAGTATCAATTTCAGATATGGATATAGCTTATGCAGTTCGTTCGCTACCGAATTGGAAGTCAGCGGGACCGGACGGACTGCATAACTTTTGGTTAAAGTGGCTCCGTAGCTCACATGTACGTTTGGCATCTCATTTTCAATCATGCCTAGAATCAGGTTCGCTTCCATCTTTTATGACTACAGGACTAACTCACCTAGTCTATAAATCTGGTAGTGCCACGGATCCAAAAAATTATAGGCCCATAACGTGTCTTCCGACGTTATATAAATTACTAACGTCCATTCTTAGAGTGAAGATAACATCTCATATTACGAACAACTCTATTATATCTCACTCTCAGAATGGATGTAGAGGTGGGGCACGTGGCACTAAAGAGCTCCTTATTATTGACATGACTATTAACCAACAAGTTCGTCGTAACCGAAAAGATCTGTCGACATGCTGGATAGATTATAAAAAGGCTTATGACTCTGTACCGCATACTTGGCTCTTAAGGGTGTTGGAGTTGTACAAGATTGATACAACTCTATGCACTTTTATGGAGACATGTATGCGGCAATGGAGAACGGTTCTTTGCTATCCAGGATGTCGGCAATCTCAAGGCGATGGCGAATATATAATGATTAAGCGGGGTATATTTCAGGGTGACAGTTTAAGTCCCTTGTGGTTTTGCTTAGCTTTAAATCCTCTCAGCACTATGTTGGAGGGTTCAGGGCTAGGCTATCGTTTGCAGAGAGATGGTAAGGTTATATCCCACCTCCTTTACATGGATGATTTAAAACTGTTTGCTTCCAGTAGTTCCATACTGATGAATTTACTAGGAATAACTAAAACCTTTAGTAAATGTATCAGGATGGAATTTGGTGTAGATAAGTGTGCAATCATGCATGTAAAAAGAGGCAGGGTTGTGGAGTCTGATAGGTTAGAACTCTCAGATTCCACGCACTTTACATGTCTCTCAGCTAACGAAACTTACAAATATCTGGGTATGTCACAGGCGTTAGGTGTAAATGAGTTGACTTTGAAACAATCGTTACAGGAACGCTTCTTTAGCCGCCTGAAAAAAGTATTAAATGGTCTTTTATCAGGTGGTAATAAGGTGAGAGCCTATAATGATTGGGTCATACCAGTTCTAACTTACTCTTTTGGCATACTTAGATGGACTCAGACTGAACTAGATACCCTGGATAGAAGAGTTCGTACATTGCTTACTGTATACCGAATGCATCATCCACGTTCATCGGTGATGAGGTTATATATTCCACGAAAATGTGGTGGTCGTGGTTTTCTAAATGCCAAGACCCTCCACAATCGTGAGATATGTAACCTTAGGAATTACTTCCTTTGTGTTAATGTGGATATCCATAGGGATGTAGTAGCAGTTGATAACGGACTCACTCCGCTTGGTCTAGGTAAAGAGAACTGGCGCAAATTTGCAGTACTCAACATTACTGATCGTAAGGAGATATGGAAGGGCAAAGAGCTGCATGGACGTTTTTATCGAGCCTTGAACAGGCCTGAGGTGGATCAACTAGCGTCTGTATTCTGGCTTCGATTCGGTGACCTCTTCGGGGAAACTGAAGGTTTTGTCTTTGCAATTACTGATGAAGTTGTTATGACGAATAATTATCGGAAGTATATCCTGAAGGACGGCACAATAGACATTTGTCGGGCATGTCATTGTCCTGGTGAAAGCCTTAGACATATAATTTCCGGTTGTTCTCGTCTTGCCAACGGCGAGTACTTGCATAGACATAACCAAGTGGCCAGGATTGTCCATCAGCAACTTGCTCTTAAGTATAACCTTGTGACTGTAGAGTTACCGTACTACAAATATGTGCCCGACCCAGTTCTTGAAAATGGTCGTGCAACGTTGTACTGGGATCGCCCTATTATCACTGACAGGACTATTGTTGCCAATAAACCTGATATAGTGGTAATAGACCGATTGGAGCGCCGAGCAATGATTGTTGACATTACCATTCCACATGACGACAATCTCTTGAAAGCTGAAAAAGATAAACAAGTGAAGTATTTGGATTTAGCCCACGAGATTGTCGACATGTGGGATGTTGATTCGGCAATCGTTGTACCGATAGTCATATCGGCCCATGGATTAGTTGCTAAGAGCCTCGACCAACATCTTCAGAGGCTCGCGTTAGGCAGTTGGATTAAGGGTCTGATGCAGAAAGCAGTTCTTCTCGATACGGCACGTATTGTGAGGAAGTTTCTGTCTCTGGAGTCCTAACCACCGATATCTTGGTCTCTGTACCCGATACCGATGGGATATTATTTTTTATATTTTTAAATGTATTTTATTTTTTGTTTTTGTATATAAATATATTTAAAAATGTAATTTATATGTATAAAGAATGAAATAAAGAAATAATAATAATAATAATATTCTACCACATACACACAACGCCATCTAGTCCCAAACTAAGCAGAGCTTGTACTATGGGTACTAGACAACTGATATAAATACATATATACTTTTTTTTTTGTAAATACATACATATTATACATAGAAACACCCATACCAAATCAAACATCAAATGTTCATGCACACAAATGTTTGTCTTGAGCGGGAATTGAACCCGCGACCTTTGGCATAGCAGTCCGTTACACAAACCACTACGCCATCCGGTCGTCGTATCTTTGGTGATCTGGATTTTCTTGGGACCTTTGTCTAAAAGTAGTTTAAATATTGTTTTGTCTGTTTTTTAGGACTGATCGTAATGTGGTAAATAAAGAAAAAAAAATTGGTATTTGTCTAATTAGGACCACATTACAATACAATTATAATTACCACCACACTATAATATAATATACTCGTAGATACAAAAAAATCTACAAAAATACATGGTTGACGCAAACTAATGTTATATATATCTATATATATATAACATTAGTATTATATATATATTATATTATTATATATTATTATATATTATATACATATTTCAATTATATTGGTTAACGAACACCTTTTGAACCTATGTTCAGTCAACTCAAATGAAATTCCTTTAAATAAACTGGTGGACGGTTACTAAACAATTGAATCTTACACTATTACAATTCTACACCCTTTTTTTTTTTTTTTTTTTTTTTTTTCCGTGCGGAAATCCCCTCGAATACCACCTGTCGGTGGCATGTCGGACACGAACCGACTAAAACCGCACGCCTTCGCCGGGTACTAATAGCCGGGGAACCAGGTATACCCTAGAAAGGAAGGCCCTGGTGTCCCGACATACCTCGGGTCATCTACAGACGAGTAGACGACCCCCGCCCCGTGTGGGAACCCCATGTTCCCTGTGCTCCCTGGAAGCGAGCGCGCTTCGCAACGCGCTCGCCGCCACCCCGGCCTGCTTCTGCTAGGGTGACAGATGGCCTCACCTGTCACCCCCAGGCCTGCGCTTATGGAGGACGGAGGTCGTTCTGCGACCTCCGGCGCCTGAGTCGCCTGCGCTGCCTGGCCCGTGCCCGGGCCTGGCGGGCCGGGAGAGTTCTAAACCTCTCCCGGTCCCGCTCCGCCGTCTCCTTCGCGAGCATAACTTGCTCGCAGAAGGAGACGGCAGAGTTCCACGCACTCTCGCTCCGCACGATAGCCGCAATCAGGCTATCGAGCGAGAGAACTCCCACTCCGATGGCCGCCACGAGGTCTCGCCTCTGCTCAACCCACGCCGGGCACTCTGCCAGCGTGTGGAGAGCCGTGTCCACGGTCTGGCCATCGCAGTGGTGGCACTCAGGCGTTGGCTCCTTGCGGATCAGACACAGGTGATCTCCGAAACATCCCTTCCCAGTGATCACCTGCGTCAATCGGTATGAGAGGGTCCCGTGACGCCTCTCGAGCCAATCCTCCATAACGGGTCTTACCGCCGCAATGACGGCGTGCCCGGCGCTCGGTTGCCCGAGTCGTTCCCTCCACTCCCCTATGATGACCTGGCGGAGTTGGGATTTCCGGTCATTGATTTCTCGAATCTCGGGGGATCGACCCAACTCCTGCGCCTCCTTGCGCCACTGATACAGAGCCCCAAGGGCTCTCGCCTCCAGGTCCCATGGTGGAGTTCCGGCCAGGAGACTCGCCGCCTCAAAGGAGATCGTGCGGTACCCCCTTATGATCCTGATGGCCAGCATTCGCTGCGGTCGTCGCAGTATCGCGACGTTGCTGGCCTTCAGGGCCCCCGCCCATACTGGGCACCCGTAAAGGGCCATGGACCGCACAACCCCCGAGTAGAGTCTCCTGCAGGAGTCATCGGGTCCCTTCATGTTGGGCAGCAGCCGCGCCAACGCACGCGCTGCCCCAACCAACTTGGGGACCAGACCTCGGAAATGATATCCGAAGTCCCATCGGCCATCGAGTACGAGCCCCAGATACCTGATCGAGGGCTCGATGCCGATGCGAGTGCCTCCTACCGTGAGGCTAGATCCCTCAGGCGGCTTCCTCCGAAGCCCGTGGAAGAACAGGGCCTCGGACTTGTGCAGAGCCACCTCGAGACCCAGCCGCCGGATACGCTCAACGACTTGGGCAACCCCGGCCGTGGCCCTCAGGGTTGCCTCGTGGTGCGTCTTGCCGCGCGCCGTCACGAGTGTGTCGTCCGCGTAGCACACGACGGCGACACCATCCAAGAAGGCACCACGAAGCACCCAGTCGTAGCCGATGTTCCACAAGAGTGGCCCTAACACCGACCCCTGCGGAACACCGCACGACATTTCACGCCTACCGAGACCGGTCCTACTGGGGTAGACGACGGCTCTCTCCGACAAATATGCCCCGACTATGCGGCGGAGGTAGAGAGGCACTTCGTGATACACGAGCGCCTCCCTGATGCAGCTCCAGGGCATAGTGTTGAACGCGTTGGCGATGTCCAAGGACACCGCCAACACCACTTCGCCCCGGGAGACTGCTTCCTCCGCCAGAGCCTTCACGCGCATGATCGCATCCACGGTGGAGCGCCCCTGACGGAAACCGTACTGGTTGTCCGCCAGATCCGGCCCAACCATCACGAGATGATTGACGAGGCGCCTTGCAATCACTCTTTCAAAGAGCTTGCACACCTCGTCAAGCAACACTATGGGCCGGTAGGCGGACGGTGAGTCCGCCGGGCGCCCCTCCTTTCGGATGAGGACCAGTTTCCCCGTCCTCCACAATTTCGGAAACTGGCCCCGCTCGAGGCATGCGCTGAAGAACCCTCGCAGTCGGGGCTCGAGAGCATCGTCGACTAAGGCCAGGACCCACGCTCGGCCAGGAATGCCATCGGGTCCCGGGGCGGTGTTTTTGGCTTTAAGCCGTAACACCGCCACTTAAGCCGTAACACCGCCACAATTCTACACCCTGAATTGTAAAAGACCAGTGTGAACTATTTTGATCATAATAAGCAAAACAAAATAAATCTGTATTGGTGGTCGTAATCCAACGCATTTGTCTTAATATTATGCATAAAAATAGGAAACTATAAGTAAATAATAACAAAACTTAACGACTGCTCTAATTAAATACATAACTTATCTGTACTAAGTCGTCTCGCACATTGAAAAAAAAAAACGTATAATAATTATTTTTCGTTAATGTGACTTCTAGAAATGCTATTATCTTGACTTAAAGGTGCTTAGTCCGTCAAATGGTTGCATCTACCCTAAGTCGATTTTTAACACTAGTCAGTCTTATTTGCTATTCAGATAAAAAATGATTTAAATTGCAATATTAGACAAAAATAAGACATTAGCTCAAATTATTCTTATCTGTAAATTATTTGAAGATACTTCCACGTTGCCCTCGTCTGCCTAGTCTGCCTTAGAATATCTTTGCAAAACCTTTGAAAAATAATAAGAAATGTTAAGTGTTCTTCACGATATTTTTATTCACTGCGCTTACAAATCAGTATAACTTCTAATGTACACTTAAATTAACCGGAGCCATCCGCTTCGTCGTGTGGTGAAACGATTATGGTTATATCATATAACATATCCTGAAAGTCTTGGTTTCGAAACCCGGATCACTCAATTATTACTGACTATTTTGTGTACAAGCGATTGCGACTTTAGAATTCTTTCAACGATTAGAAAATAGCAGATTTTATTCGAACAGCTAAACAGACTTTTTCAAGTTAAGTATAGCTAAAAAACAAAATCAATAACCATGCTGCCAGTCAATTATACAAAAACAGATAAATAGATACACATACCAACCCTTTTTTTGCATCGCGGTTTTAAACACTGAATGTCTAATTTACGCTTCGATTTAACATAAAACCACATTGTTTCGTTCTTTAAAAAGTGATCAGAGTTTTTACATGTAAACGACACGGTGCTAAAGACTTACACTAATTAAAATCTATGAGTAGAATATTAAGTACATACACCGACGTAACACAAGTTTCAAACACACAATAACAGGAAATATATTTTCATAGTTAAAGACTATAGACACTTAACTTCAGTATAATAACAAGCTGCTGTAAAGTCATGACGTTATGATAATCGACTATGATTACTAATATTACGGTTCGCTAGCTTACATGTTTATTTTACATTCAAAAACAGTGGATAGTCCACTAACTCGTGACAAAGTCCGCAAAAGTGGGATGTTGATTTGATATTTTAGATAGTTACACAAACTCAATATAACTGTTTTCAAATCTCAAAATAATAAGATTTTCAGTCACACCGAAAAATAATATTAAACTTACCAATGAACTCAACTGGTTGTCCTACAACTCCCCTGTGAGTTGGTTTTACAAATATTCCTTTGGCACCTCTATTATAATCCCTTTGTATTGGTCTGCGAACAAAAAATATCATTACAACGAGCTACAAAATAATTGTGTCTAGCTGGCTAATATCACAAAAACATTGTGCACTAAAAGCTCGTCGTGAAACTTACAATAAAGAAATATAGCGATTGTGTTGTTCTAATTAAAAACTTCATTTTGCTGCATAAAATTAAATTCGTTGGTTAAGGTTGCTTTGCAGTTCTTGCGGGCTATGAGATTTCTACAAACGTAAATTAGTATTTTCTGTTAAACTATATTAATAGGTCCTATGAAGTTGGAACATTTAAACCCAGTAGTTCTGTGGATTGGCGCACAATTCGATGTTCAAATAAATTTTATTCGAGAGCCATATTATCTTACTTTAAAATCCAGTCATTTGTTTTAGATAATGTTTTATTTTTGTGAAATTCTGGTAGTTTTTGGTGGCATGGATTATCTGAAAATTTGTTTAATATTCGAATATGAGTTCCTACGTGGAAATACCGTTGCGCAACCAACACGAAACTTTAACGACGTGTACGGGTCTAACACTGCTTGCATAATCACGGTCCATTATTAGTTCAATCGTTTTAGATCTGGAAAATTTTAATGGAAGATCGAGCTTCGCGGTCGGCCGGTAACTACAGTCGACAACGACGAATTTAAGGCGATAGTTGAAGCGGATCTAACTCAATCGACGGCTGAGATTGCTGCGGGCTTTGGAGTTAGTGTCAAAACAACATTGACGTACTTGCGTCAAAACGGAAAGATAAAAAAGCTAAATAAGTTGGTGCGACACGAATTAAGCAATTTTCCCTAATTCAGCACATTTTACTTACATACAGTAGTTTTACAGCGTACTTTGGTAAGATAAAATTAAAAATTAAAATGTTAATTAACACAAAATAAATACACACACATTCTTTCACTGGAGACACATTGTTGTTTAGACATTTAAAGATGTATACATCTAATGGTACTGTCAGCTGTTTTCCAAACTAGGCTATTGCCTGTATGTTGGGAGACAGCGTTCAGTCGTGGGGTTTTGATACCAATATGAACCAGGGACGTGAAAGTCCTTGTGGTGTCTTTCATAACCGTTTGAGGTAAGTTCCAAAGCAAGTATTAGAGAGTATTTTTAAGATGTATCAACAAATAACAAGCATAAAGCTCAAGTACTGGTTGCATGTAATGTTTTATAGTGGAGCGCCTCTAAACACCTACCTGAAACGTCCGTGTGCGGCGTCCGTCTCAGTTCGGGCCCCCCCAGCCGGGTCGCGGGGGGGCCTATTGGATAAAAAAGACTGCTGTTGTTTCTCCTCTACGCTACTGTACGATGAGTCCCGTACAACATATGTGCTCTCTCGTATTTCGCGCTTGCTGATCTCTTGCTGCAATTAAAGATTCTTTGAGTGATGTGTTTGCAAACTTTACTTAGCCTATCCCCGTTTTCAACACAATGTGTGACAATAAAAATCAGTTAGATAATAAGTACATGGTAAGAGGTAATATAACACTAATTTGTACTTTAGTCAGTTAGTAGTTAGTTCAGGTAGTTTTAGAATTATGTAGACATTTACATAATTCTAAAACTACCGTCCGTCATTACCCACAATGGGTATTTCTAATGCATAATCAGGAGAGTATAGCGGCTCTACGAGTTTCGTATCGATCATTAGCAGAAAGGCCGTGTAATCAACACGCCAGCAATGGTGAAATGACCATACCCTCAAGGGACTATTCACTGTGCAAACGATGTTTAATGAGAGTTAATGAGACCATCAGATACTTTCATTACAGTTATACTTCCGATTCCTAAATAAACAATCCTAAATGGTTTTCCTAATTGTGCTGCCCATGTTAAAGGTTGACCCATAGTAACATATCCATACATATAATGTATAAGGCTCTACCTTAAAACATTAAACTACCGAAATTAGAGCTTTGGACATATAATTATATTGTATTTGTTTGGATTAAAAATGTTATCTCTAAGAAGAAAAGATTGAATTAAAGCAAAAGAGTAAACATGAAGGACTAATGAGAAAAATGTATTAGTACAATTTTTCAAGTATAAGTACATGTACAAGTATAATAACAAAACACAATAAGATACCGATGAAATTAATGTTAGTTTCCTTTTAATTATAGGAGTCATAACATTGTAGCAAGCGACCGGATGACTAGCCGTAAGTGCTCATAAGCATGGGAATCACGCACACTGTTTACATAGTTGTGACTTCTTCATAACTTACGCTTATACTATATTATGTAAGGGGTCGGCGGTATAAAGTCGAGTTTACTAAACAAGTCTCATACTTCGACTTTCGTTAGTATATATTTTGAATGTCTTCATGAGCAGGGAACAGCGGAATAGTATGTACTTTCTGAATATTCTTTGCAGCTGATATCTAGCCATTTTCAGAATATGTTATTTGGGTTTATTTCATTATAATTATCTTTACTGGCAAATTCTAGTCATATTTTTAATTATGGGATGCGTAATTTTTATTGAATGCGGATTTTTGAACGTTAATTTATTATCTTTGGTCATTTTGTTAAAAACAGCTTTGATTAGATGTTTTCAATGATATTTATCAAGTTATAAATTTTATATTTATTTATTTTAAACTTAATGCACATATTGTACAAAGGCGGACTTAATGCCATTAGGCATTCTCTCCCAGTCAACCTTCAGGTGATGTAGAAATATGATGCGGTAGGTGCAAAATAAAATATGAAATTAACATAATTTAGGTCCAGAAACATACACAATATAAAAACACACATGCATACATAAACCTACATAAATTTAATAAAATATATAAATACTCAGTCGGGAACTAAATTTTATATCATATTATAAATATTTATAACTGTTTATTTCAAAAATATCTAAACTTTTTACTAGACGAATTCAATTCCTTTTTTTATTAGTGAAATTCAATTACAGTTTAAATTTTATATTTCAAATTGCGCGAAAAATCCAGTTGCCCTTTTATATGCAGTGTTGGGTTCCGCATCTCATTACAATGTGACCGGAATCGAAATGTTTGTAAAAATAAATAAACTCTTAGTGGAATTATATTTATAGGTAATCTTGATATTACTCATTTTTATATAAGAGGGCGATATTCTTTAAACGTGCAAACGGTTGATACAATGTGAAGAGTACCAAACTCATTTCCTCTATCAGTTTGCCCGGGAGACAAACTTTCAAGAGGCCACCTCTTGAAAGTTTGTCTGCACCAGGTGTGTCCTTCTAGTGTCATCATCACCATCGTGGTGGCACATCGAGGATCGAGCTTTTAGTTCATGGGGCCCGTCGTAGTCCCCTCTACCGTTGCTTCTATTTTGGTCGATTTGGTCCTCGTTCCAGTTTGGGTCCAGATAATGTACCTGGATCTGAGCCTCGGCGATATAAGGCGCACCTTCTAGCGCCTCATGCCGCCCTGAGTGTAGCCGCAGGTGGAGGGGACGGGTTTTTAGTCGGTTTCATTCAGACAAACCGCCTCCGTGACGGCCCGAGGGGATTTCCGTAAGTAAAAAAAAACTATTGTTTAAAAAAAATATGTTGAGACCTAGGCATTTTTTACTGTCATCCGCATTTCTCCTCTAGCAAAATAAGTTCTTAATGAAAAGAAATTTATTTAGATTCAAAGTCTCCGTTAAGACATACATTTCTACTAAATACATACTTAGTTTTACGTTTCAACGAAAGTGAAATTGATTATAATATATGTACATAAGTGATGTAAACAAACAGCGAATAAATTTACATATTACGTAGTTAATGTTATATTATTTGCAGTCGGAGATAAACAAAGTCTAAATCGTCATTGTAAAATGGCTTGATTACCATGAAAATACAAATTTATCATAGATGCAAAATTTAGATGCCATAATTTATACTAAAGTGAAACTAGCTGTTAAACAGTACTCCAACAATGATTGATTATTTAAAGGATTACTTACGAAGATTGTTGGTAAAGTAAATATATATTTTTTAGGTTTACAAGCATGTATTATTTGCATAGAACATTGATTGAGATAAGTTTGAACTAAGAGTATTTCACATCATTGCTGTTTTTTGTGCTTCTGTGTTAGCAAAGTTATTAGCAAAGGATAATAATTGTAAGCCAAAATTAGAGTCGACATAAAGCATTAGTGTAATACCTGACGGCCAATTCTCGTATTAAAAGTTTGGTCACAATTCAGTTCCGATCAATTTTCTATCTCACAACTGTCATAAAAAGTATTTTCGTAGTAAAGTATTAAACATTTAACGTTGACTCGTATATCGCATTGTGACCTAAAATTAAATCTGTAAGTTGTAGTACTACTAAAAATAGTTATACTTTACATTTTTACTAGGTACTAAAATACATTTTATGACAGTTGTGAGATCAAAAGTTGATCGGAACTGAATTGTGACCGAACTTTTATTACGAGAATTGGCCTTCTGATTATTAAAACTATTAACTCAGTTCTCATTAATTGTTCGGAAACGCAATTAATATTATAATTGTGATCAATTTGCCATAATGCAATTCATTGCTCGAACTGAGTTCCACTACTATTGAGGCTTTTTAATGTTTTACACGTCCTTGTACCAAAATAGAGCGACACTCGAAATTAACCAGCGCTTCTTATCTGCTGCCTTGCGGCGGCCATACTTACCTCACTTAAGTGGTAATTGTTTCCATCAACTTCGTTATTTTTTTAAATTATAAATGATTTTAGACCATAAAGAAATGCACCGTTTTTTTACTCAATAGTAGATTCAAACCGACAGATCGATGCCCTTGTGACGCGTGATATTGTAGTAGAGCCACTGATAATAATTTACCAAAGCGTGAACCTCTTTGTGATTTGAATATTATTTTAACTGTAATAATAATATTTTATAAGTTATGGTTTTATAAGATACCACTTACTCGACTGGTGTAAGTATCCGAATCTCTGTCATCTGCCAACCGGTCAAGGTGTTTGTTGAATGAGTCGCGTGAGTAGTCGCCGAACTTATTGAGTTGAGTGTTGCGTTTTGTCTCGCGGTCCAGAGTGTTCTGTCCGTGGTAACGTTCCGCTGGGCTGTTCGGTGAGTCGAGGCTACACACACAAACGTTTATTATTCACCACATGTAAAGTGATGGAAGACCGCAGACCTCTCGAAAAGAAGTACACGTAAACAAAGTTTTATTATTACTCTAAAATTGAAACGATTTATTTTTGTATAATATTATTGGCAAACAATATTCTTAACTGTTCGTTCATAAAGATATATATAAGGTTATAAAATTTGAAAATACGAGTACATCCTTAAATATTTTTAAACCCTATGTTTACTTGTAATTGGCCAGTTACTGTAAATACTGTTTAGTCAGTACGCTTGATTATTTTGACAAAATGGAGATACATTTACGGGAGTAACGAAGGTGGTGCGAACGCTGAGCTTTGTAATTATATAAGATGGTACAGATGCCTTGGTTTTAGGTTCTTACCTTATGCCTACTACTCTTATACGTCGCAATTTACGTCCGCAGCTATTAATCATGTCTTGTATAACCTTTGTGCGAAACAATATTGCTAATATCTCACCTGTTAGCGCTCATCATTTGTCTTGTTTTTTCTACACTCTCCCAGTCTGTTCGCGCCTGATACGGTTTTCCACCCGGATCTCCCCTGCCTGGGAAAAAAATGAAGTTCAATATTTGTACTTCTCTAAAGTAGCTAGTTACTGTGAAGACAAGTAGAAGTAATATTTTGGTTTAGTGTGCAAGAAACTAATTATATATAATCTATATATATATATATATGACTGCACGGATGGCGTAGTGGTTTAACTGGTCGCCACGCCGCTTCCTGCTACGCCGAGTGTTGTGGGTTCAAACCCCACATGGGACGACACTTTGTGTGATCCACAAATTGTTGTTCTGAGTCTGGGTGTTCTTTGTTGTCGTTTCATGTATGTTTGTAAAGTCCCCCGCGACACAGGAATATATATTCCTAATGCGGGCGTTGTCTTTTTTAAATAAATAAAAAAAAAATATATATATATAAATGAATCCTTATTTCCCTTGGTCATGGCATCACGCGTGAACGGCTGGACGAATTTCGCTAATTCTTTTTTGTTGTGTTTGTTATTGTCAGGAGAAGGTTCTACTAAAAGAAAAATTAAGAAAGTTGCGCGGGTTTATATTAATTTTTTAACTCACTTTTATTTTAATTCTTTACTTGATTAATGAACCTGAGGCGGCTATGGCTCTAGGGTCAATTAATTTGAGTAACACAAAAAATAAATAAATTAACGTGAACACCGTGGTTCTCACACACGAGGGGGTCATCTACAAGCCTTAGATAGCCCGGGGTCCGTCGAGGTACCAGGGATTTCCTTCCTAGGGTACACCTGGTTCAAAACAAACTTTAATTTATTATTATTATTATACCGAGCAGGCATATAAACTAATTGATGGTTATAGTCTAGAACCACCTTACCATTTATGAATTTTACTTAGTATTTGTAAAGAAATAGTATTCAAATTTAAAATGTTTAATTTAAGATATTTTTTTCATCATCGGTAATAAATAATAATAACCCGTAGTTTAATTATGCAACATATTAATTTCTGTAGTACTGTTTTAATGTAAAATGCAAAGTTCATATTTTAACCGCTTTTATGGAACTGTACCTATTTAGAAACACAATATAGTTGAAATATCACCGATTTATATGTAAATTAACTAGCAGAGAATGAACATGAACTTTTTAAAGTAGCTTTTTACGTCAAAACCCTTTTTGCGGCATTACAACTTTATTTTTACTTAGAAGTTTTAACAGTTGCCAGCAACATAAAAATCTCTATTAGGTAGGTATTACATTTTCAACGAAATAGAACATTTATAGGTTTTACTTGAACTAGCAGATATAAGAAATGAACTATTTAAAGTTTTATATAAATCAAATGATATATCTATTTAAATACACATATGGAGGCAGTCCTTTCGTCAAGTCGACAAAAAAGGCCACATACATTTTCGATCTACTGTAACTTCGTTGTAGATAAGTTTTAAACCTGAAGTAGGTATAAGTAATTGACATGGTATGATATAACTAGGTATATTCCCAAAAAATACATACAATTTTAACTTGTAGTTCTAATCCTATGACCAAAATATTTATTTATTAAAGAAATACCTATATAATGTTTCAAACAAATAATAATCATAGTTAATATATTACGCATTGTAACAATTAGATCCCACAAGTTTTTGTGATAAAATAACTGCACAACTGAGATCTATTCTTGTTATTTTTTCGATGCGACATCGCATAGGTACATACCTATATCTACCCACCTATTTATTCTTGTAAGCTAATCCCTATCCAAAAATAATGACGTGACGTAGTCTTGATGTTTTTAGTAACTGTTCCTTTATTATTGTATGAATGTGTATAGGTGGTAATTTGATTGATATGAACAAACCGTATTAGGAAAATCTTAATAACACAATAAGCACAACGCATTGATATGTATGCAAAAATGCTGTTTTTTAATGACGGAGGCACACAATATTTGTTTTCATTTTTATTTTATTTGTTTTTTTTTATTTGTTGTAAAGCAGGAAATTTACCAAGCATGGGCTAATTCAGTGACGGTAGGTGATGCAAATATCAGCACGCTAAAAAAGCAATACAACTTTTTCATCCAGGTCTCTCAAAAGAGACATTGCCAGGGCGAAATCGGAGCACAGCAGCCGCATTGGTGAGAGACTGGTGAGACTTCCTTCTAGAACTCGTGCACTCGTGCGTCTCTTGCCAAGGCTGTCTAGAAGAATTTCTGTAGCCAATCCCTTCCACCTCTGATACCAGATGTCTGACCAGATGATGAGGAGAGAAGAGGAGGAGATGCCTTTTATGAATGCCGTCGCAATATTTCTCGTGAAAACGTCATCGAGAGTTGAAACTAACTTCTGTCTGAAATTGAAACTTGCTTAGGCGAGATTTCAGATTGGGGTCAACTGAACCTAGTCCATTTTAACTCCAAATAGACAGTCGTATCGGAATCCTATCCATCGGCATATCGAGCGTAGGCCAGTTTCGGGGTCACGTAGAGGGTAAGAATACATAGTGCCACCAGCCCTAGTCATCCCGTGGATGTCGTAAGAGCCGATTAAGGGAGCATAACAGCACTGCAATGAGAAGGAAAACTTGAAACAAACCCTATACCAACCCGTCTAGCGAAAGTGGTATAGTAGGCCAAAACCTCCTTTCTATGCAGAGACCTATGTCCAGCAGTGGACTACTAAAGGCTGTTGCTGCTGCTGCTAGAGGGTAACGTCAAATTGGCCTCGAAGAAGCTCAGTGTGCTGAACAAAGCGAGGCAGTATTTCACTCCGGCCTACCACCTCCAACTCTTTAAGGCGCAAGTCCGGCCGCATATGTTATACTGTTCTCATCTCTATGCGCCCCTACATAGAGATGAGAACAGTATTCCCCAGTACTAGCTTCTCCTTTTGAACCATATCCATCAAAGAGCGACCCGGATTGTCGATAGCCAAAAGATCTCCGACCGGCTCAATTCCTAGGAGATGTAGCTTCACTGTTTTTTCTTTATCGTATATATTATGGAGAGTGCTCCAAGGTATTGTTTGGACTAATACCGGCCGCAACTTTCCGCTTTTACTCCACATGGCAAGACTTTCATCCCCTAAATAACTGGCACTTTTTGCCTCCCACAACCAATCTGTGGAACAAGTTATCGTCTGCGGTATTTCCGGACCGATACGACCTCCAAAACTTCATAAAAAGAGTAGACTCCTTCCTCAAAAGGCTGGTAACGCGCATGTGACTCCTGAGCTGCAGGTAGTGGTACTACTACATGAACACACTACAGTAGTCGCTTTCCATTAGATGACCCGTCTGCTCGTTTGGCCCATATTCCATAAAAAGAAAAAACTTAAACTGAGGCATTATCTACCCGTCGATCGATTTTTATTCAAGTCAATAAGTAAACAACAATAGTTTGAAGTGGAACTACGTATAAATGCATCTATCCATTATCCATATCCATATCCATATCCATATTCATACTATCTATCTACACATTTAACATGACATCATAATCTTGCATTAAAACTTTTAAAACTGTTTTAACCCTACTTTGCAGCACAGGGTCCCTCACTCCAGAAAAATATTTTCGACTTTATAATTTTCGAAGTAAGACAACATAAAAAGGTATTCTGAATATAGTCAAAAATATTTTTATAATGAACAATGTCAGATGGATCACATAACTGGTTTAATTTGGATTCAGGGCGTTACTGTCACAAAAATAGTTCAAAATAAAGTAAAATATACATTTTTTATTATTATCTAATAGGATGACTGAAAAAATGTGTAACGAAATGATGAGTGTATCCATATTCTTAATATTGTCAAATAGCCTGTGCCCAAATGTTATTCAGGTTAGGACGTTAGGTACTTATTTGCATACCGACCGCTATTCTATTGGTCAGCTGTCAAATACAAATTCGGGTCGTTGATTTATGGATAGTACGTTATCTCTTACCGAAGGGAAAATGTTGCCGAGCTGACCTTGCAATATACACATATACTCGTAAGTGTGTCCATAAATAAAGTACGTAATAACGACGCACAGTATGTCAAGAGACCTTAAAATCGGACATACTCATTTTTTTTATTAAACTTTTAGGGCTATTTTTTATAAATGTTATAGGAAAACTCCTGTTTAAAAATTCCACATAATTCTAAAAATAATAATTTGAAATTAATAAATTTACTAATTTCAAAAAGAGAAAAAAAAAACTTTTTAATAACTAATAGCATTAAACTTAAAAACTCTACACTATTTCATAGATCCCTTAGAAATACACGTAATAAGCGTTTAATATGCTTCGTAAACGCCTGTAGTCAATCAGGATATATTTTTTTCGTTATTTTAGTATTTATTTTTTTACTCAACTTCACCAGAACATATGCGAACTTTTTTATTGCAACACGTAGCCTATTATAACATGTAGTTTATTAAAAAGCTATTAATCAGCTATTAGTTATTAAATAATATTATTATGCTCCTTTTTGAAATAAGTGAATTCATTAATTTCAATGTTTTTGTGGAAATGTGGAAATGTGGAATTTTGAAACAGGAGTTTTACTACAACATTTGTAAAAATGAGCCCTAAACGTTTGATAAAAAAAAAAACGAGCATGTCCGATTTTAAGGTTTCTTGACATACTGTGTCACTTAAGGCTAAACTAGTCGCTCAGCACTAACAAGAAAGCATTAGAATTTGATATTCATAAACGTTACCTTGTGACTGATGTGAAGTAAATATTATTTTGAATGTTGAGCAACACGATCTTCTTGTTTTGAAAAGTTTTCAATAGTTCGATATCAGTCCTGTTCATAAATGCCCACGGGTAGGCGTTGGCCTTTATGTTGAGGCCTTTATTTATATATTTTTATCTCGCTCAGCCCTAAGTGATGCATTATAAACCACTATGCATAATTACCAAGTGTAATCCACCAGGCCAATGCTGATTTCAGGTTTGAATAAATTTTGAAAACATTATTGACAAATATGTCGGCAACTCTATGGTTATTTTATTTGCCTTGAAACAAGTGATAAATAATTTCTTAAGTACTATTGAAATTTCGAATTTGACAGGTTGAGTTAGGGATTAAATGCATAAGGTATTAAAATCTAATATATATCGCGTACTTACTTGGACTACCCAGTCTTCTGCGTTCATTCTCCAACGATGAGCAAGGACTGCCTTGGTCCAAATTGTCCTGTGACCCGCTGTACGAGCTGTACATTTTATAGTTGGAACGCTTCTCGACCACGCGCTTTGTTGAGGTCACAGGGCTGTAGCGCTCTATCGGGCTGTTTACTCTGAAAATAATATGTCAACAATAAAACGGAGTAAAAATTTATAGTGGATTGGAATAGATTGGATTAAATTATACATATTATGCGAGTAACAAACACAAGTTACACACTTTGGAGACATGGATTTTGATTTACATAAAATTAGAATTTCATCCTTAGTAAGAGACTGCTTTCTTGATCGCAGGTTATTTGAAATATTATTGTAATCGTATAAATTGATTCACCAGTATACCCATTTCGGGTATTATATTTATTTGGTGGAGGGTTTATTTATCCAAAACTAGCTTTTGCCCGCGGCTCCGACCGGGTGTATGTCGGTTATCGCGTTAAAAAGTAGCCAATGTTACTCGCTGATAATGTAGCCTTCCTTGGGTGTAAGAATAAAAAAAAACGGTTGAGTTATTTAGGCGTGAAAGGGTAACAAACAAACAAACTCACTTTCACATTTATGATTTAAGAATGGATGTATGGCGTTTTTATTTGCGTGAAGGCGTAACAAAAAAAAACTAGCTTTTAACATTTATAATATACTAGCTTTTGCCCGCGGCTCTGCCTAAGTGTAAGTCGGTTATCGTGGTAAAAAGTAGTCTATATTACTTGCTGATAATGTAGCTTTCCATGGGTGAAAGAATTTTTAAAAACGGTTAAATGATTCAGGCGTGAAAGCGTAACAAACAAACAAACAAACTCACTTTCACATTTATACTATAAGTATGGCTGTATGGGTATACTGTCGACACCAAAAATATTACATTTAATTTGATTGAATGATTTATGAGACCTATGTCTATGGACCCCGGCAGGAACGAAGTTCCTTTCGCTTTTTGGTAGATGTTTGTAAACAGTCATTTTAATTTATATTATAAAATATCAAGCTAATAGAGTTAAATTGAAAAATGTATGATTAAAGACATTGTTATGAATAAAATAAATATTGTTAAATTAAACACTGAATCTGATCTCATGATAAAATTAATAACAAATAAAAATTTTGGAATTGTATAAATTTTTTTTTATTAATTATACTTTTTGATTTTAAAAACAAACATTAATTATTTACCATAAAGTAATAATAAAAGTTAAAATAGATCTGTGTGCGGACATATATAGTTCATACACGGCCATAGTTAGCAACAAGTGTAGGAAAGAAGACCTTAGTTACTAGTTGGCTTCTTCGGTCTCACTCCCATCCGCTCAGTAACAAGCGATAAGGAGCTTCGTTCTAAAAATACTGTACTATTTATATTACACCATTTATTAAGATACATATTAATTTCAATGTATTAACAAAGTAATTCCAACCCGTTAATCAAGTACCTACTTTATATGGGCTTCTACGAATTTGCCATATTAGTTATTTAAGTAATTGTTGTTTAAAATTGTTAATAGCGTTTTGTCTTTACGTTGTATTAAGTTCGTTTTTTTTGTTTATTTGTAATGCCTATGTATAGTATATATATATATATAATGGTAAGAAAAACACCTGTGTTAGATTGAAAAACCCGAATGATAGTGCGTATCGTACCCTTGCTATGTTGTAATAAAAATTAGCATATTAATGAACGTGTTTGAAATTAGGCTAGTCTCTGTTTTGTTTTATCCTTTACCACCTATGGTTATAGAAACGCTAATCAAAAATTATTCTGGTAAACGGACGAGCTCGTAAGACACAATTTTCACAGTCTATTCCTTTTCATTTATTGCAATGTTAACATGCCTATATATTAGAAACATATCGTCGAACTGCATGTTTTCCCTGTACTTTTTTTAACTAATTGCACGCCATTTGTGAAACAATATGGCGGCTTACAATTATCTTACAATTTGAAACGAAAGATATGAAACTTTTTCTTATAATAATATAGCTACTCTTGTTACGAAGTTGTAGTTGATTACAAAGTAACAGTCCTGTATCCAATTATTCTTATTTTTGTAGCTTTTTTCCCTTTTTTATCGTAATCAAAGAAAAACAATGTTTACTTTGAGATTCCCAAGTAATTACGTATTTAATTAGGTACCTACGTGTTACGTGTGTATCTGACATGTTGTGTAGGCAATACAAACATATAACAAGGATCTACAACCCATAATTATTTGCGATGGTTTATTTTTATTTTACAATGATATATACGATATAATATAAGATATATACTTGCTTGCGTTTCAAAATAAAACTTTTAAATACAAATACAATGGAATTGCGAGTGAATCGGACATTCTGAATTCGGACATTCTCTTTTAAAACATTCACTGCAGTTGCCTTGCGAGACTAAGTCACTCTCATGAATTCACGACTATTTTTACACATACGGCATCAGTATTCGCCTTACAGGAAGTGATAGTCGACAATCTAATTAACTATCGATAGAGAAAAAGTTGGTTGTAATGAGTCGTGGGGCTTTCGGGACCGGAACCGCTGTCTCGAATTCCCCCTATAGATACAATAATAAGTACTACTTATAACTACTACTACTATAAGAAACTAACTAAGGGACTACTTATAAGATAAACAATTCATGTTAAGGGAAAGTACGATCAACAAAAAATTCAGTAGTTTTAAAATTAAAATATATTGATCATAAATTACAGTTGAAAAAAAACTAAAAAAAACACGCGTTCGTAACTAGCCGAACTAAAAAGTAGACAATAATTTTCTATACGTTCAAAAAGAAAAAAACATTTTATCGTAAAAATGCGTGGAGTGCTAGATTGGTAAAAATAAAGGTATTATATTATAAAACATCTTGAAAAGCACCTTGGAAAGCCCCACTACTCTAGTTACAAAATACTTATAACATATAACTATTTGCTACATTGTAAATATTTTAAGAGGGAAAAGTTAAGGGCGTGTTGTGATTTTCATGATCACCAGGGCCGCTGATTCACTGAGTGAGCGAGGTTAGCAGAGGCTCAAAACTAATTCCCTCTACACCTAAATACGGAAACCCCCTTTGGATACCACCTATCGGTGGCATGTCGGACTCGAACCGACTAAAACCGCACGCCGTCTCGGGTACTAATAGCCGGGTAACCAGGTATACCCTAGAAAGGAAGTCCCTGGTGCCCCGACATACACCTAAATCCCCTAATTCTTGTGGGCACTCAAAGGCCGGCAACGAGATAATCACTTACCATCAGGTGACCTGTCTGTTAGTTTGCCCCTGAACAATAACAAAAACCATAGTCCGTTCCAAATAAACTCTTTGTATCACTGGTATGTAGATCCATAAAATGCTACTATACTATCCATAAATTGTGCTTTTAAGTAATCTGAGCCTCTATCTCGTTAAAAAATAGATTTGATACGGTACTAACACTGTTCGAATATTTAGGTTTATTTAACGAATTGCAATCAACTTCAATAGCAATCACATAACAGTGACTGAGGTTATACTTCTGTTCTAATTATAGATGACTAAAATATTTGCAAATATGAAAGAACCGTAAAGGTCAGATATTTATGTGTAAATTGCTTTTATTGTCTTTTGGTTACGAAATTTATCACTTTTGTTGCAAAAAATATTGCTACTAATCACAATTTGTAGTATATCTCGTGGTAAATATGAATATTTTATGATTGATGATGATGATTTAGAGTCAAAAAAGTTTTCATTGAGGAATATACTTCATAGAGTGACGACGTTTTAATTCAAGGCAATTTCAGGCAGTGCCGGTAGTATAGAGAGCAATATTGAGAGACAAAAAGAAGCCTATGGTTTTTATTATGACAATATAAAAATATTCTCATCGTACATACCTGTTAATTGGACTGGCCGTTCTGTTCAAAGGGCTATCTTTTCGGATAAGGGGACTTGTAGTCCGGCCCACTGGACTTGTGGCGCGGTATGGACTGCTCGCTCTATACGGACTCCCAGACCTATTGACATCCAATCGTGAACCATTCCCTAAATGTTTTGTTGTTATTGGACTGGCTGTTCTATTCCTAGGACTCTCTGAGCCATATCTCGTATAGGTTTCCCTCTTAGTAGCCTTTGATGTTGAGTAAGCGGAATCGGTCATGTCAAAACTTTTTTCTTTGTTTTCTGAATCGTAAGAAGACTTGAAATAATCATTGGAATCACGTCTCTCATCTCGACGATCTATAGAGCTCGTGTGCTTAGAAATATTTGATTCGTGTAAATTATATTGGTTCATAGGACTTTCAGATCTGAGACGAGTAACTGAAATAAAAAAAAAATATTGACAAAATTAGTGCCCGTAAAACAAAAAAAGCTGTAGAGGACTTACCTCAATATTTTGTTTATGTGCAGACAATTATGAACATTTTAGAAAAAAAAAGCCGTGTGGTGTCGTGGGACACCCGATAGGAACGAAGTTGACACGAAAATAAAGAGCAAAAAGCCAACATCACGTGGTATTCCCAGGCGGTCACCCATCCAAGTACTAACCACGCCCGATGTTGCTTAACTTCGGTGATCGGACGAGAACCGGTGTATTCAACATGGTATGGACGTTGGCGAACGTTCAAGCAAATTTAATGTATGGTATCCACAGTTAGACGTCAATTTATATTAAAAGTGTCGTGACCAATTTTCTTAAGAATTTTTTCCGTCTAGCCCCCTTTCACAAAGCGCGATAAGGAACTTCGTTCCAAAAAAAAAATTCGGTAAATGACGTCAGTTATAATCGAAACAATAATCAGCTAGCTGATGGCTGTTGAGTGCAACGGTTAAAAATTTAAAATACTAAATTCAATTTTGTGCTAATCATTTTTTCCTACCAAAAACATTTTCATGTAAAATGTTGCCAGCTCACGCTGAAAAGATCACGCTGACCAAGCTCGCACTGTCAAAAAGTTATCAGATCTCATTTAGAGCCAAGATTCTAACTCTACACGCCGGAACTCTACAAGCCCTAAATTCACAAACTCTACACCTTAGTCAAAATATGTTGCTTGACCGTTTTGTCACTAAAAGAATTATTGTGTAACAGAAAAGTAATGAACAGTGAATACATTTTTCGCTTTACGCCCATGTGACGGTAGCAAATGGATCAGTTGTTTCTGCGTTTTTACATTACGATTGCATTGACTTGGTGAGGCAAAACTTGGAGGACGGTTATGTTTGATTTCATATAATACAAAATTTTAGTAATAGCAAATTACACAACCTTACAACCTATTGTTTGTACAAGCGGGCGCAAGTTACCTGGACTAGATATCCTTGCATAAGCTGGCGAAGGACTCGAGCTGTCACGAGGCTTCTTCGAACGAGATCCCACCCTAAACACGTGCGGTGAGCCGTGAACGTCGTATCCGTTGAAATATATGTACAACTGAAACATGTCACAATGTGTATTAGGAGGCTCTTTTAGCACGACGTATGATGAGAAATGTAACACTATTTGTTTTATTCCTCTATAAAGATTGATAGTTTGACACGATCGAGCATGTCATATGAATCCCTTGTTTTGATCTAATGAAAATATACTTATTTATGTATGTATCCTTAGATAATGATTGTGGCGTGTAGATTAGTCTCGGTATCTGTTGCAGGACTAAAAAGATTTAAACACGGAAATGCAAAATAATTTCAACATCCAACCTAGCAAAAGGGCTTTTTATGCAGAAATTTCTAAATGTTTATGTTGTAGATTTAATTCACTTCCGTGAAAATGATGCTATTAAAATAGGTTCGTTTCAAAAATTGCTGTTTTAACTACATACTCGTAAATAATTTTGTGGGTTCTCATAAACTGTGTTATATTTTGCCTGATTTCTGTACTAGCAGAGAATGCCCAAACAAAAGTTTATTTATGTACTGTAAATCTATTAAGCTAAATAAAATCGCACTTTACCCAACAAAGATAAAATAAAATCTGTTTAGTGTTGTTAAATGTTTCTATCATTAAAACTGTATTCAACTTTAGTTTAAAAAGCAAAATATATGCTCTCTTAATTATATATATAAAATATATATATGCAAGAAATGTTATTCAAGCCAAAGTATAATCCATTGATCTTACTCTGTGTTTTCCAGGTGCTTTAGGCATGAAGGTCGCGCGGTATTTGGTTGCAGAGAGTTTTTCTAATGCGCACATGACACTGCGTTTATCATGAACAATGTCTAGCTGTAGGTCGCCTTTGACTCCACAACCGCTTGTGTCTAGTTCGAAAGAGTGAGGCTTTAGTGGCTCTGCTCCTTCCAGAGCCCCTGCACTTAATCGAACCCCAGCAGGATCGAACACTTCACACGTAAAAGGACCACCCTGGAATAAGACGAAATATACTTTTTCAGAAAAGTTTTAAAGTTTGTTGTACTTTTTTTAAAGTTAACTATGAAAGGTTGACTATGTGTTACAAATTTAAAGAATTTCTACAATTTATAGGAAACGGCGTTACATGTGTCGACCATATATTTTGATCTGTCACGGAACAGAAAGTCTAAGAATGTCAGTTTAACTTATTCTGGAAATAAATAGGTAAAATATACATAAGTTAGGAATGCTGACTGCTATGGCAAGAAATTATGGACCCCAGACAAATAGTGTTTGATGAGCACGATCATTTGTTCTGTCTGGGTGTATTTAGAAATAAATGTTGTGTGGTTGACGGCAAAATCATAGGACGTAAAATTTTCTCGTTTAATACACCTATGACCACAACTTCAGAGATAAAGACGTGACTATAATTATGGGTTTACTCGTATATGACTTCTGATCGAATTTCGACCTCCAGGCTATGTCAGTTAGGAGTTAGACAACTTTTCATTATATTCGACAGAGCTTATATACAAAGGCACGGCATACAACACAATTTATAGTTAGTATCAAAAGCAAAATATCAATTTCAGTTTTCTTAACGGTATATTGAACTTTGAAGCCCTGATACTGCACTATAACTAAATTTGATGTTAGTCCGATATGTATATTAATAATATTCGCTTAAGTGAGCTTTGCATATCACATGGTCGAATCAATAGGGCGCGCCTTTGGCGCCCTCAGAGGGTATTGGCGGTTAGACCCATACGCGGTTACCGCACTGTGTCGACGGAGGCGACGTACGCGTTGACCGGAACTCCGCCGTGAAATTTTGAGGCGGAAGTGCTCGTCGAAGTATATCGGCGGACGACTGAGTTCCGGGAGGTTAGCGGTAGTCGGCCCCCGTCCGAAGAAGTACGAGAGTGGCATGAGGCCGCTCGTCGAGTCACGATGGCTCTTTGATCGTCCCAGCTGGGGGTTCCACGTGTGGTCTTGCCGCTGTGGAGGCGCTCCATCCGGTCATCATCGATTGGCAGGGTGGCAGCTCGGGACTCTTTCCTTCCAACTGAAGCAGGGTCTTTCCGGGCACGGCTGCTTCGGGAAGTATCCGGACTCGGTCGCTTGGAGAAAATTGAGTCCCGCATGTCACCACTGCAATTGCGGTGTGGACTAGGCTCAGCACACGCTGGCAATTTGCCCTACTTGGGCGCCGCAGCGCCGGGTCCTCATTGCAGTGATCGGAGCGGATTTCTCGCTACCGGCCGTCATACGCTCCATGGCCAGTAGTGACAGTTGTTTTAAAAGGACCACCTTTTTTTCCGTGGTCGTTATTCTGTGAAGACGTCATCTCGCAGAAGGAGTCGGCGGAGAGGGCCCGGGAGGATGATCTCCACTTGGACCCAATTTGACGCCCGCGAACCGGGCGGCAAAGGCGCGCTGACGACCGCTTCATGCCGCCCTGAGTGTGGCCGCAGGTTGACGGGACGAGTGTTTGCTCCACCCGCCATATTGGTCAGTCACGAGGAGGACGTCACCTAAATAGAAAATGTAACCGAAGGTGGTGCCCGCGCCGTTAATTGCAGGCGCTAGGAGGGGTCCGGATTCTTAATAATAGAAGTTCCCGGATAACTCCTATCATAGACGCAGAGTGGCACACCGTGTGGTATACCGACACTCCACCCCGCCGCAAAACCCCGGTGGGGTGATGACCCAAAAAAAGGTCACTAGTAGAAAAATAAAAGGGGCAAGTAAATTTGCAATGTAACTCTACCTGATATGATTCCAGTGAGCCATTAAAATATACAACATGCCTATGAGATAATCGAGACGATATTCTTGGTTTAGGGCACTTTAGGGCTTCATTTCGATGACAATCTGTGCGCATATGTTGTTAATTGTTCGCCAGCCATCACAAAAATATTTTAATGCAGATTGTGCCACAAAATATTTATCTCTGTTATATGTTTTTTAATATGCCTTATGATAAGTTTTGTTTATGGGCTATGAATTCAACTAAAGGTAGCTGACAAAACCATCTAACAATATAAAAGAAATTGCGGCATTTCACTAGAAGTAATCTTCATGCCACCCTGGCCCGTCAATATCTCGGTATTTACGATTCCCGTACAATCATGAACATCGTAAAAATGTGTGACTAATTGACTAGGCTATACTCAAAATAGTCTGTAATTGCTACATTCTAATAATGAGTTAATAAGAAAACAACTAAACATTCTAGTAATGAGTTAAAAAGAAAAAAGCTTAATTAAAGTTAGTAACATTAAATCTGTTGCTATAATTCAAGCACACCACCGAACATGGAACGATAACTTTTTCAGTACATCTCGCATAGTACGAGTAGAGTAGAGACTATTACGAGCTGTTGTGACGGTTTCTTCAAACGATATTCATTGTGAGTTTTTTTGATACTAACCTGAATATGATCGCCTTTGTAAGTAATAGCTATTGTCCATGTTCCTGCTTCATCAGGTTGGAAAGTGGCACTCGAGGCTGTTGTACCAGGTGCTGATGGAGGTGGGTGTCGAGCTTCGAGTGGGACGGCACGTCCGCTAGGGGAATGTGCGGTAACGTCGATGTCTTGTCTTCTTGGTGCACCTATAGAGATATAAGAATGGTCAGCTTATTTTAGGAAGAAATTTAAATAAGAAGTTGTAAAAAAATAATAAAGTAAAACTTTGAATGAGTATCAATACCTAATATTTTCCAAAAAATTTTTTGTAATCTAACACTGAACTTAGGAACGTTGGTAATGCTTATAGACACCGCTATCAGACAACGGCCAGTGAGATTTATTCTTGTTGTGCTTTAATATAACTTTGTATACAAATTATCATTACTTTGCCCAATTTTATTGGGGGTCGGCGCCGGCGCAAAGGAAGAAGGAAAATTGGGCTAAGATAAATTGATAGAGTGAGGGACCTAGGGTAGATGATATCGTAAGGTTCGGATAGAAAAGGGGGCTAAGTCTGCAGAGATGCTTGAAGAGGATCCAAAACTGAACAGAGAAATAGCCGTAAATAAGACAAAACTACATGTCGGGTAGGCGTTATAATTAATAATGGAAATCACCGTTTACCAACACACTGTTTGGCAGATAGCCATGTTGTGGTAGCCGATTGTAAATGGATTTGATTAACATAAATTAAACATGAAGTGATTAAACTGCATCAGGTTAACCTAACAAGACCATCCATTTTAATGTATCAAGTGAAATACTTAAAGCCTAAGGTCGCTTTATACATGTATTTATTAAACACACACCGTATTAATATAGTGTTACATAAAGCGAGAAATTTGATCGATTTGTATACTTATGATGTTAATTAGTTGCTGTTTTATTCATATTGGACGGTCATCAGAGATATTACATTTATTTATTTTTGTTACACGTAAAATGTACAAAAATAGGCTCCATTAGTGCCAGAGCTAAATTTGTCAGAAATACTCTACTCATTAAGATATTGCAGAGCTCATGAGCTCGTGAGATAGATGGGAAGACTGGTGAAAGTCTTCCCATCTGTGACCATGATTGGCGCAATTCGATGTAAACAGTAAAATGAAAAGGAATCGTACCTTTAAATTACCGTTTTAAGTCGCTAGAAATATTTCATAATTTAGAATTATAAATACGTCTAAAACACATAAAGTCACGATAGAGTATTGATTCTGGTTTTGTGATTTAGGCAATAAAAAACTACTACGATGGGCTACCAATCCAAGTGGAAAGGATTTTTAACAGATATTTGTCAAGCTTTTTTGAAACCCGGGTTAGTAAATTACGATATAAAAACTAGTTTTTTGTTGATCCACTAATCATCTAACAAGAGATAAGCTGCATGCTATGAAATATCAACATTTTTCTTGTTTTATATATATTTCAATTTACAGTCACAAACAAAAAATAAACTGAACACTTGACTTTACTGTCGTTCACTATACGCACGTAATTGATATTTTTTCGTTTTCGTTACGTTTTTAAAAAGACAATTCAGCATTAGGAATATATCCTGTGTCGCGGGGAACTTTACAAATATACATGAAAAGAACACAAAGAGCCCAGACTCAGATCAATAATTTGTGGATCACACAAAGTGTCTTCTCATGTGGGGAACGGACCCGCAACACTCAGCGTAGTAGCGATCGGCATGGCGACCGCTTAAACCACTACGCCATCCGTGCAGTCAAACTATTGTTTTCGTTCTATCATTTTTAGATACAAATATCGGGTGGTTCCATACCTGTGGCACTGACTAGTACTTCCACAATACTTCCTATGGCACAAGGCGCCATGCCTGGTGGTGGAACTGTCACTAATCTTGGTAAAACTCTGAAGAAATATCTTCCATCCACTCTGAAATATTAATAGTACACTTGATACCGTAAATAATATATAATCAACTTAAATGAAAACTCCTAAAAAGGCCGTACACAAACTAAAATTATATCATCCAAGTAAACAATAATATGCATTAAAAATGATCATAAAATGAAAACTACTTTGCCTAACTATGTTAAATTTTTATGGGACCAAATGGCAACTATTCCGCATAAAACTAAAGAAGAATCACGTAAATCGGATCATAAATCTCAGAGTAATCGGTGTACATATATAAAAAAAAAAACCAATCGAATTGAGAACCTCCTCATTTTTGAAGTCGGTTAATTATGTCATATACTCGTAACACGTACTCAACACTAAGGGGTCTTTAAAACAAATTGGATTTTGAAATAAGTACTCGTAAAATTACAACACACACAATTTACCTTGTAAATTTTTTACTGTGTATATTTTAGAAAATGACAAATAAATGCCAACAATGTTTTATACATTCCAATCTTAAGTACATTACGTGAATCTCTATATGTCCCTGTAGTCAAGAACAATTGTATTACTAACTTAAGTACTAAAATTTATAGTTTACCTGATGTCATCAACTGTGAGAACAATTTCGTGCATACCAGCGTGCTCAGGGACAAACTCGCCAGCCCCTCGGGCATCTAACTTTAGTCTAGACTCTTGCTCCAATGGGTTCACAATCAACACTTTCACCTCCGATACGGACAAGTCATTGGACACACTCTCGATCTTTATGTAGGTCTGAAAATGAGGAAGCAGGTTAACGCCATACCAGATTGTTTAATCAGGTGTTTTAAAAAATTCATCTGAATTTAGTAGTAGTTTATGGAAGGTTTAGCATAGCACGTGTATAACACGAAGTTAAGAATTCCTAAAAAGGTATTATTCACACGTAGTTTCACATAATTAACAATGGTATTCACAAATATTTTCTTGAAATTTTCTCTTTAATATTTCTTTTTCTAACGGAAATATCAAGCGGTGCTTGTCCGGATAGAACAGACATTGCTTGCCGGGAATTTTTTAAGACTTCCGTCTTCCCATTTCTTGTAGAAATCGACAAAAATAAAGATAAATTTGCGATCCTAATCTTGTAAGCCGCTTTGATTTTCCAGCGGTTGTGAGTTTCGATATTTATTCGTTTCCGTTGTTTAAAAACCAACTAAGAAAGTTATACAAATGTTTGAAATTTTATCTCAGTCTTCTATTTTTTTGAGTCTTCGCACATTTGTCATGATTTGTAAGAAACACAGTTTCTTAAGAGTAGTGGCACCATGCTTTAGTTACATTTTTAATATAATATGATGGTTGTGTATTCCGCGTATAAAAATATACTTACGGGCTCTCCGACTCTTCCGGACGTAGAATCAAGTGCGACACGTAACATATCATGTACAGGTGGGCGAGGAGGCACATTTCTTAAATGAGTGGCCCACGTCATCAATCCCAAGTGATCTACCTCGCTTTGGCTCATATCTCGCGCTGATAATACTGGCTGTACACCTACAATCAAAAATATTCTTTCTTATCTTTCCAATTTCATGGCAAAGCTCTTTTAATGTGTGTATCATCACGATATTTTGGACATCAATTTAAAACTTTTTTTTTTCTTAAAAGAAAACTTCCGCACTAGGGATATATCCTGTGACGCGGGGGACTTTACTAACATACATGAAAAGGACACAAAGAACACCCACACTCAGAACAATAATTTGTGGATCACACAAAGTGTTGTCCCATGTGGGGATCGAACCCACAACATTCAGCGCAGTAGGAAGTGGCGAGGTGACCGCTTAAACCCCTACGCCATCCGTTTATGTATGTAAAACGTATGCAAATGTATGTGTATATTGTTAGACATATTTACCAATTTTCTTCGCTGCATCTAGAGCTAGCTGGTTATTTTCTTCCCAACGTGCAGGGTCTCGACGCAATCGGCTTGGTGGCGGTGCTGGCCCTCCGATTGAACGAACCAACTCATTTGCCACGCGCCCGTCATTCCAGTCGGTCTGCCAACGTATTATTTTAAATTATATGTACCTAAATGATTTGATCTTAGCATGGCTTAGGAAGATTTCGTTTATAGATTATACCAGACACCCTGGCTAACACCGGATGTTTTTTTAATCTGTGTAACTCCGACATCACATACTTAGCTATTAAATCCGATGATGACCCCAGTATTATTTAAGTTTAAATTGTTTGTAAAATTGTATATAGTATATAGTAATTATCATTGTACATATATAGATACTACCTATACATATAATAAAGAAGAAACTGACAGACTGATTCACTGACTGATCGGTCAACACACAGTTGAAACCGCTTGGTCTAAAAGCATGAAATATTGCACAAATATTATTTAGGTGACGTAGGTGTGCACTAAGAAATGATTTAAAAAAAAAACCACCCCTAAGAGTGTAAAATGGCGGTTTTAAATTAATATGACAGTATTTCGTTATTTTTGGTTGTAGCATTTTCAAACTCACAGTAAATACTCTTTATTAAATTTGTTTGAAATGAGTTCAAAGTATTCTTATATTCTAATATTGTAGAATACTTTGAACTCATTACAAAAACTGTTTGAATTATGGTTCACCAGATGATCTTTAGTTTCAATTAATACAATTAATCCATAACTTATACCTTTGGAAAACGTATTTTAATGAGCCCATTTGTAAATTTTCTGTACTGTACTTTTTGATACATGTAACGTTGGAAGTATTAACAAGATACATCCTTGTGCCCGCTAAAGTTTGCAATTGATTTTGTAAAATAACAAACACATAGTCATATGTAAAGATAACATACTAAGAATTTGTACATAAATTATAATTATTCCAGGTATTAACTCGTTTAGTGAGTCTTATTTTGTCGAAAAGTAAAAGATACAAGTAGTTTACCATAGATAGGTTAAAAACTCTGTTACCATATCCTTTATCCTAACATAACAAAACGTTGTAAAATCAAAACATAATTTTATTTTTGCTATCCTTTCTTCAATATTTTGAAATTCTATGTAATTTAATTCAATATTATCACTCTAAAATCCGTCTTTATCTCTAATCAATTTAGACAGATCTTTGATTAATTCAAGTTACGACTTCCATAAACTGAAGAAAATGAAATATATTAGCGCCTAAGATTTCATAAAGCCAATTACTTTCGTTATATTTTATAACCCTTTTACTACCTACCGTAAAGTTAGTAATTGGTCTTTCCAGTCGCGAGTTGACCCATTCAAGTGTTGATCGAAAACCTGCTGAGTCCGGTTTCATAAAATAGGACAGATATGTCATCCCCGAAAGCTCATCCAGCCAAGGAGATGCTAAGTATTCAGGTTCTAAGACCATAGGTACTTCGAGTTCTCTGTGTGCCAGCCTCATCGCTCGTCGACAGTTCTCCACCGCCTCGTGACGATCTGTGCCAAATGAAACTGATATACAATAACTGATATGATGTACTGTGTATCGATTTTTATGTATTGATCTTACTAATTTTTATGACATCTTATGGCTTCGATTCTTTATTTAACGACATTGTATTGCTTTTATTTATTTTAGTGTCATTTTTAACTACAATGGTTATTTGTGACATTTTATTGAATTGATTGTAATGGCAAATGTTTCAGTGTAAATAATTTAATGTATTATTATATATAATAAGACCTTTTGGTCTGGATACCTATTGCACTAAAATACTGCATTTAAACATATTGGTTGTGAAACTGTGAGCTTATATTGTTACTTAAATAAATAAATAAATCATGGCCGTGATCCTCATTCAATGTAAGAAATAAAGTTTTATTATGCTCGATAAAACTACAAGTAACTTCTTTTTTTAGGTTTATTGCAACTGAACAACAGTAACAACCGCTGCAAATCAATTCTATAAAATCAATTTATATACGTCCTTGCAAAATGAGCAATAACTTTTTAAGACAGCTTTTAGCGTTGCGTCTTATAGTAACATTTGTCACAATCAATACTGACTGAGCTCCCGCCAGTGCGGGAAAACACCGGGCTTGCAGTAGTCGAGCAGTGCTGAGAGTAGAATACCGCTGTTCCAATCAGTTGTCAAGTTGTTGACGCGGCACTCTGGCAGCGATGCCTGAAGCCATGATAGCATCAACTTCCTGCAATCAAAAATCAATAATTATCACAATTCTACACTCATTTATCAGCATAAATCAACAAACTTTGTATGTTTGAGCATTGTAGATCCTGTCTATTTCTTAGATTAATATTTGTACTTAAACAGCTTTTATGCGATTTTCGTGATAATTTCAAACAAATTAAGTTTAATATAAGTTAAGTTCTTTAACTGCTTAGTAGAGTAACTTTTAATTAAGACTAAACGAATGGCAGTTAATTAAGAAATGAGGTTTTTTTGGGAACCACTGATCTAGCCATAGGCGTGGTCCTATTTCGTATTCACGTATAATTCTATTTGTGTGTACCTCAACTGCGATATGATAATGATGTTGTTGACAATAGCATGAAATGCATTACGATATTTGTATTTTTTTAAACCGCAGAAGAAATTTGTTATACGTAGACACAAACTGGATTTACTGAAACATTCATTAACGAATTATTTTGTATGTTGATAAACAAATAAAGTTCACCGCACTGGAACTCATGACTGTTTAAATATTATAAGATATTATTATGAATTTTTATTATATAGTTTTTGATTTCAATGATCCATAAACATTTATCTCTTTGCCTGGATGTAATATACGTAATAAACAGAAGACACGTTTTGCTTGTTTCAATTAATAGCAAAATTTGTACTGTTCGAATGGTCTCGAATGCGAGTCACGCTTTGAATTTAACTTATTCCATTTACAAATAAATCACATAACCACAAATTACCGTGAGTAGAATCTAGTTAGGTCAAGTACTGTGTTTAAACACCGTAGCTATTAAGTAAGTTACTCAGCGTATCTTAGGTCTGTTTATTTTAAACGAAACCTAAAGCCACGGACGGTTGCGCTCGCGCCTTGTACTGTGTTAATTGCCTTTGTATTTAAGTGTAAATTTCAAGGTTTATTGAATTTAAAGTTAATTGATAGCATCTAACTGCAATTACATCTTGTTTATTACATATATATTAGGGCATATACTTTATAGGACAAGTTTTGATTAGTCGTGAATGCTTTACAGACATTGTGGGGTGACAAAAAAATGAACTTTTATTCTATTGGCAGAATATCAAAGATGCAAGAGTCATTCATTAGGTAAATCAATAAAGAGTTTTACAACCTCCCAATATAACCCTAAGCTTATCTATTTATATATTTAGCTATATATAGCTTAGCTATATACATATATCTCATAACTCTAAGCTTGTCACTAAAAGTGATTGATGATAACTTCTTATTTACTTTTTATGAAAGTAGATTATTATATTTTTTATAGATTTTATCATCATCATTATTGTCCAAGAATGGTTGAGTAGCATTAGAAGTTATCATATTTCGAAGCTAACTGATGTCGTCTTTCACTTGTTTGTTGTTAAGACAGGATGAAATTATACTGCTTTGTTAATTACCGTATCCGCTATAGATTTTCTTTATTAAATTGCAAACTAGATTTCATTACTCAAAATAAACAAAACAATAATATGTGCTTTTACTCGAATTTTAATTCGGTAGGTCTCTTTTTAACCTCTCATGTCAAGCACAGTAAGCGACAACTTTAAAGAATATTTATTTATTTTACATCTTCATGTACTTATGTACATCGGCGGACTTAAAGCCCTGGGCATTCTCTACCAGCCAACCTTTAAGTGGTGTAGAAATCTTGTAGGGTAGGTGCAAGGAGCATATTACTGTCACCGCTGCGTTATTTACTTAATAAGAAGTCATCGTTACATCGTCAGTAGTGTAAAGAGATCATTAAAATGTATTTTTACAGTTGGGTAGTCAGTGAATAACTAAATAGGTATTTCATACTGACCAACACTGAATGTGGATATGATGATGTTTTATTTTTTTGTATAATGTTAGTTAGTTAGCTCTAAATTAATGATTCTTATAAACTATTTAACAAAATGACAACAAAATAGTAAATGAGCAAACAGTATACCATATGCGCGTTCTAATTTGACCTAAATGATGAATGAATCAATCAGTGATGCATCATTCTAAAAAATATTAAGCTATTGCATAGCTTCTATCGAGGGCCTTGAGCGCGGGGACCGAATCCAGAAATTCCGTAACGAAAAAAACCTCACGCTAAAAACAAAACAAAAAACAGTATCAAAATCAAATGCTGAACGTCAAAGGAAATATCGTCAACATAATGCAGAAAAATCTTACATGGATATGTAATTTGATTTAATAATAATATTTTTTATTTATTTATTTTGAAACAAATTGTAATATTTGCTTCAATATTTTTATTTAATAAAAGAAAAAAAATTGTTTTCTTATCGGTAACCACGCTCAAAAAGTGTAACTTGAATTAATATCAAAGAAAAAGAAATACTGCATAAATAAAATAAATAAATAATTATAATTGCATAAGTTGATACAAAATGCTATGCAATAGCTTTACCGCGGCAGTCCCCGAGTGCCACACGTCTTTTTTTTTTGTTATCTAAGTAAGATATTTAACAAATTCAGTGAAGGAAGAAAAAGCTTCATAACCGACACTTTGAATCTTTGATCTATTGTAGGTCTCACTCAAGAGATTGATATACGAGTGAGACTTGATATGACTGCTAATTATTTATTGAACATATTCTTGGTGATACATTGAACTACCATACTAACCTGGAGTCTCTAACATAAAACCGGGTTAGGAATGACTGTTGCAACACCAGCCTTTGAAATTGGGCCCCATTGATGGTAATTAGCTTGTCACATGGGAAATAACATGAAAAGGTGATACGGCGCTAATGGGATGTCTTGCATCGCTGTTAGTTCAGAGAGAAAACTTTTGTGTCATATTATTAGTGTTTTTTTGGCCAATCTTTGAAACCTAAGGATGATATTCGATTTCAAAACATCTTTATGCGTTTGGTAGCTCAAGTCTTAAAGTTATTGAGATTGCGCCACGGCCTTTAGAAACGAGACAGTGACAATAAATGCTGCGCAAGTGTGGAGAAGCTGTAGTCTGAAATAGCTTCTGTAGGAACAGAAATAACTGTTTCGCACTAAAATATAGACAATTAAAATTTTACTATAAAAAGATATTACCTTGGTGGGAATTTGCTCCGGCCGATTTGGTACCGAACGATGAGTGACCAAATGAGTCCCAATATTAATTTTAGATTACCATTAACGATGTCCATGTTACCTAAAAACATAATTATATTATAACAATAGAATGGAATTAAATTGTTTAGTGAAGAGTTTCCTTTAGTGTAACAGAGACAAAAATAATGTGCATTTAGACAGGGTGGTAAACCTTAATTTTATTAATTTGATGTTATTTATTATTATAAACAAAGCTGTTCGTACAAACTGGCATCGCTACAGTAACATGGGAGCAATTACGTGATATCCTACTTTCGAAAGATTCGTAATGTTTTATAATATCATCATCATCATCAGCCTAGCGCAGTCCACTGCTAGACATAGGCCTCTCCCATTGCACGCCACTTAGATCGATTTTATATACACCTGCCAATATACATAAGTTATTATAAAAACAATTTGTCAGGGCTGCATTTTTTTTATAAATGCACAAATGTATGTATATTAACTTTGCCATTTTTATTTACTAAAGTTATTGCACATTTTATTGATATATCGGGTTCATATATCGATTTGTGCATTTGCAAAGCATGTTCGTTATGATTGGCCAAAGTATTGTAATAGGCATAATAATATATTAGTCATACCGATATTGACAAGTTTGACGCCATCGTCTTCTATAGCTTGTAGCGCATTGGTGACATTCTCCAGCTTGTGGTGTTGATTTGTCGGCTTCTGACTCCAACCTCTTAATTTTCGTCCCTGAAGAGCTTCTACCAACGAACACAGCACGGTTCCATCTCGAAAATCTTCCACCAAATCTACGACCTACCGAAATTAATTAAATTGGTTAATTCAAAATAATTGACTTGTCAATAGACAATATTGCATGAATATATTCTTATATATATATATATTATTTTTTTTCATAATCCATATATTGTATAACTTTTAAAATATATAGTTAGAAATTAAGAAACGATTAAACACAATTCTCAATAAAGTGGCAGTAACTTAATGGAAATTGAAATACAATTTCATAATTTTTTATATAATGTAATAAAGTACGCCCTTTGTACATTACATGTCTGTTATTTTTTATGTATCATACTACTTTTAAAACGGTGTACAAATAAAGAGTTTTCTAGCTATCTATCCAAAAGTTCTTTTTTGTAAATGAAAATTTAATGATTATATTTGGATACTAAACTAAAAAAAGTACTTAAAGTTATTATCCCATACCCAGGGGGTACTTTCTCACTATCCAGTGTCCAGCCGAATAGTAAATGTTATGTGAAGCTGGATATTAAGTCGGATTATAAATATAGTGCCCTTATGACTGTCCTGAATAATGAAAATATTATAAAAACATAATAATAAACGAACATGAAAACATTTGGCTAAAAATAAACGATATAGCTGATTGAGTTGTTTGTACAAAATATTATATTAAATCAATATGCCAACTGATTTATTATGAAAATTGTACGAGTGTGCCCACGAGCAATCACGATTATTTTGTTCGTGAATATTCGCAAATCAAATGATATTACAATATTTACCTTTATATTCATTGGCTTTAGGGTTTCGTTGACCCAATTCCTGAAGGTGTTGGCCTGTATCTCCACCCAAAGGTCCTCGTGGCCTTTGATAGCCATACCTTTGGCCGCTGTCCCTTCAGGGCTACGGGCCGCTAACCCCGCTTGTGTGATTCGCCCCGCTGAACCCTCGGCGGTGTGCGCCCGCAAGCCTTGGTGCGTCACACGTCCCTCCATTTTCTTAAACTACCAACTAGTAGTAAAATAAACCCGTATTCTATATAATTTTACTTCATTTTCTTTGGCACCACACATCGTTGTCATCTGAAAAGATAATTAACTTATGAATATTTAAGAATGTTTTCTTGATTCAACGGAACGATCTAAAATAAAATAAGGAAAACTCAGCGACGCGACGGTTTGATACTCATTTACATGAACGTAATCATGCTCATGTATAAATGTTTTAATCTTTTTCTTCGGGTACGGGAGATTGTTATCTTATGGATACCGTTACGATATATTACATAGTACCCACGTGGCCACGCATGCGATATGCGATAGTGTTTTTAACACGCTTTTATTAGCTTGATCTGTATGTATGTATGTATCTGTATAACGAAATCTTTCAACTCAATTTTCACCCACTTCAAGAAGTGTAATTGATTTGAAACTTCGCACACTTAACAAGGACCGATGACAATACTGATTATCCTATGAATTTGGCCGATTATCCTCATCAGGATCTTCAGGATTAACGGCTTTTTCTATATCTAAAAATACGGTAGTGTCTTTTGCTACGTATTAAGTGACGGGTGCTGACGCATATGTGACTTACTTACTTGCTACTTTTTTAGTCTTACTAAAAAAAATTTCAATCATTAATGACTAAAAAAGCAAAAATAAATTATAGTTAAAAAAAATCCTTTTATCGTAAAAAAGCGTGAGGTGCTTTTTAAGATAGTTAATAATATAATAGCATCCTACGCATTTTTACAACCATCAAGGTTGAGTTTTGTACAATCAGAGGTGTACATTACTAATAATAATAATAATACGAAATCTATCACTGGATTATTTTAACCCACAAAAGTCATCGTTTTCTAAATGCACTGTGCATTTAGAAAACGATGACTTTTGTGGATAATGCAATGCATTTAATGAGTTTTAGCCCAAAGTTCCGTTTGTACCGAAATTGATTACCGTTTTAAAGCAGCCTTGCCAAATTTCGTGCAAATTTGGTCATCGATTGAGGCGTGGTTCAATGTCTGTGGTTCTGAAGATGTGAAAGAAACGAATGTTCTTATATTTCCTCCGTGAATGGTAGATGTTAGCTCACGTTTGCATATACATGTAAATATATAGGGTGAAGAACCTTTTGTTCTTTTTTTTTCTACGCGGGGAATGCTCTTCGAACCTTACTCTCCGTTTTGGAAACGCAGGACCTGAGTGGGACTCTCCTGATCCCGCTCTGCGGCCTCCTTCTGGAGCATAAAGTCCTTGCAGCAAGAGACCATGGTTGCCCATCCCTCGCTACTCGAGAGCATTGCCGCAATCAACCGTCCGACAGAGCGAACTTAGTCATAGACCATGGCGTCCATGTCGACCAAAATGGTGGACATCGCATAAGGACCGTCGCCGCCTCCGATAGCCTACGATAGCCCCGTATGGTCATCAACTGCTGCAAGCCTCTGAGTAGAACCTTACAGCTGGAGGCACCCGCCAAGTTATTCGACCAGACGGGTGCCCCATGGACCGCAGGACGCCCATGTAGAGGCAGCGAACTTCTTCCCGTGGTCCCCCGAGATTGGGCAGCAGGCGATACAGTGCACCCGCTAACCCCCGTACTCGGGGGACTAATCACTCGAAATGCTATTCGATGCTCTCATCGCTGAGAGCCTTTACAGCAGCTCCATGTTGCCGCCGTGCTACGTCGATCTCCTCGACTGTAGCTCACCGTCTTCGCCGGGTTCAAAGGTACGGGCGGCGCAATCTTGCAACCGTCATTCTCAGCTGCGAGATGCCCTCGCTCTACCAGTACGTCGAGTCCTTTCTAGCTGGCCTGAATCGGGGCATTGAGGCATCACATATGGACGCCATAATGTTCCCAAACTAGGATACCTGTACTTCTGGATAGGACGAAACCGTTTCCTAAAACCAATCACTAAACAATCACTAAAGCCAATGTACCCTATTTTAAGGCACTGGTGACACAGCAAGGGCCCCGGTTCGAATGCGTTGTGATTCTTCCAAATCCGTTATCCACAGTTCCTCCACGGACGCATAAATCGCGTGTCTGTGTCTCCCACGACCGCGAGCAAGCGTTCGGCCAAAGCTTCCGCTTTGGCAGAGCTATCGGGCCCGGGGACCTCTAGTACTAGGCCCCCTGTGACCGCCTTTCGCTGGCGGACCCCACCCGTAATGTCGAGCTCCGCCAGCTTAATAGGGGCCTTTACGGTCTGAATTACTTCCGCAAGAGAGGTGTTGGAGCCCGACGGCACTATGACCACGACGGCGGCATTGGTCGCGATCCTGCGCTGCGTTTTGTCAATTTGGGACAGGAGTAGCCACCGCACCCTGTCTCGCAGTGGCAGCCTTGGCTTTTGTACCAACAACTTTGGCCCAAGTGCCCCTTCCTGCATTACCGCTGGTGCCGACAGGTTAGAGCTTCCAAGACTGGAAGCTTGTCTCATTACCGAGGTTAGTAGCTGCACCGCCAACCCTTTCGCTTTCTTGATGCTGCTGCTTGCCGTTGAGCCTGCGTTGCGCTACTGGTGTTCGTCTCTGGTGGCCTAGAGCCTCTCTGTGGGAACAACCTAGCTAAAAGCCCGGACTGGCATCGGGTAAACTCACGGTTCAGTATTGCCTCGATTTCTTCCTAGTCCAGGTGGTCCTCCCTTATCGGTCGGGCCAGTGGCACCGGGGGTCCATTTATATTTCCTTACAATCTTATAGCTGCAAACTGGCACCGTCGAGGTTCCGAGGTTTCCTTTCTAGGTTACAGCAGGTTCCTCGACTAGTCACGGCCCGGGGGGCTAACTTCCAGGAGGCGGCGCGCCTGGCCGCCACGGGAGTTTCCCAGGTGGTCGGGCGCATTGAGGCGTTGGGATTACGGGTGGCCCTGGATAAGACGGAGGCCCTATTATTCCATGGGCCCCGTCGTGGTCCACCCGCCGGCGCCTCAATCGAGGTCGGCTCGGTCCTCGTACCGGTCCGGGCCCAGATGAGGTACCTGGGTCTGGTCCTAGACGGTAGGTGGCTCTTCGACGAGCACTTCCGACAGCTTGGTCCGAAGCTGGTGGACACTGCCTCCGCCCTAGGGCGACTTTTGCCCAATTTGGGCGGGGCCAGTGTTCCCAGGAGGCGGCTGTACGCGGGGGTTGTCCGGTCCATGGCGCTTTATGGTGCACCGGTATGGGTGGCGGCTCTGACCGCCCCGAATAGGGCGCGCCTCTGGCGCCCCCAGAGGATATTGGCGGTCAGAGCCATACGCGGATACCGCACGGTGTCCACCGAGGCGGCTTGCGCCTTGGCCGGAACACCCCCGTGGGATTTGGAGGCGGAAGTGCTCGCTGAAGTTTAACGGCGAGTGGCTGACTTCCGGGCGGAGAGCGGATTTCGCGGGCGACGCAGCGCCGGGCCCTCACTGCAGTCATCGGAGCAGATCTCTCGCTACCGGCCGTAATTCGCTCCATGGCCGGTAGCGACAGTTGTTTTACCGCGGTCGCAACCTTCTGCGAGGAGGTAATCTCGCAGAAGGAGGCGGCGGAGAAGGCCCGGGAGGACGACCTCCACTCGGACCTGATCCGCCGCCGGCGAACCGGGCGGCGGAGGCGCGCCTACCTGCGCCTCATGCCGCCCTGAGTGTGGCCGCGGGTGGACGGGATGGGTTCTCCCCTCCACCCGCATTAGTTGGCCAGCCGCGAGGGGGCGGCGTCCACGTGCGCCGGACGTCGCCTAAAGAGAGGGTCCACTGAGACGGAGCCCGCATCAGGAGCGGGCCGGCGCTGGGAGGGGTCCAGAAGGCGATAACTACCTGGACCCCTCCTAAACTGGAAGCGCAAAGAGGGCACACCGTGTGGTTTTAGTCGGTTCGAGTCCGACACACCGCCCCGCCGAACGAGAGCCCCGGCGGGGTGAAAAAAAGGTTCCTCGACTAGTGTTACCCAAGACGGTGTGTGGTTTTAGTCGGATCGAGGCCGACATAAAAAAAGGTACAAATTGGCATCAATATTGGCACCATTGGTTGCAATGCATGCTACTGTCCCAATTCAGTTATTTTTAAAATGTGTTAGTTTAAATACTTATAAACAATGTTATAGATGCGAACTTTATGGAGTAAGCAGTTTACTTGTGAAATAATATATTTACAAGATATGGGATAAAATTATCGAAGCGTTTTCTAGTCTTTATATCGGTACCCGGTTTCTAGCAGAAACATTATGTTTTCTTTTAAAACAAAGTTAGTAAAAACAAGTATTGACCGTGTTTCGTCTAGTTTTGTTACCAAATTGGTGTTTTCAAACAATTGAAAACGCATTGGAATATTAGTTTTATAGAGTAGCCGTTCCGGGGAATCTTAACGAGAATTGATTATGATATGCTTTAAACACACTGAATTCATAAGCCACTTTATATTACGTATAACAAAGGGTGTTTTTTGGGCGTCACCAGACCGTTTCAGTGATAACGAATTTGATTAATATAATTTTATATCAAAACAAAGCCGGGTTCATCTACTGACATTTACATTTGAGAATTTAGGTATTACAGATATATGAACCAAATTCTGTCTCATAGAGTTAGGTAGTTATATGACACGGGTTAGGGATATTTCACTTACCAACTGAACAGTAAAATGTTAGGTCTAAACCACGTAATGCTGCGGTGTTCAACCACATCACATTCGAGAACCGTAAATCTCACAACATTATTATAGGATATTGTCAACTTCACCAATGTGATCATATGTTTATAAAACTGTGGTATGCATTACATTCGTACACTGTTACCTTTAAATTATGACCTACTACTAGTTATGCATCGTATCAAAAAATCTAGTTATCAGTAATTTTTGCAATATTCAATAATCTTTTTTATAATGGTTTGCTCAAATACAAGATTTTATTGCGCTAACTACTTATAAGGATTTTAATAATTTAACAAGTACATGAAATCAAAAAGCGATGATCGTGTTCTGAACATAAAAAACTAACCATAATTTGTATTATTTGAACAAAGAAGGATTTTTAGTTTTTATCATTCCTTATCATTCTCTCATGCGTTTGTTGCGTTCAGTTTATTGTTTGTATTAAGTTTGTATT